ACCTCGGAGTCCTGCATCTCAGAGTCCTGCACCTCGGAGTCCTGCATCTCAGAGTCCTGTACCTCGGAGTCCTGCATCTCAGAGTCCTGCACCTCGGAGTCCTGCATCTCAGAGTCCTGACCTGTTATTTTTGCAGCAGTGTTGGTTGAGTTTTGAGTTTGCAGATGATTGACAGTCTTTGGTGGCTTCTTTTAATGTCCATGATGTGCTGATCAAAGGTGAGTGTAGAAGAACAGCCTCTCTGGACTTCCCTTGAACCAGTATTATCAATGAGCAAGACCCACCAGACCACCGGGGGGTCAAATGTTTAGGACTCACCCTGGTATCACCCTGACTGGACAACAACTTCTTTCAGCCATCCTTAGGCCAAAAAGGAGGTAAAAAGTCACTTGGGATCCCTCAAGTTTCAGATGCCATCTTAAAGTATCCAGCCTTGGGGCAAAACGCGGTGATGAACGACCCACTAGTTGTCGTGAAACGCTTCTTTTTTTCCACCACATCCTGTCCCTTCCTGTCACCCCAGGAAATCATGCCCTCCCCTCTCTTACCAAATGTTTCTGTGTGACAAAACTGAAATGTCTGTTGGAAGTGAAATTATACATTTTATCCATATTATGTGTTTGAAGTTGTAGAAATATAACTGAGATTCATTAATCAACTTGTTTGCATGAATATGTGCTTCCTCATTTTGTTTTTCATTATATGTTGCCACTATAGGTTGTTTTCAATTGTAACCAATTTTGACCATAATGAGAAGAGTATGTGCCTATCGCGTGTAACGTGTCAAAGTATAAGTAGCAGTAAGTTTCTTTTGAAATAAAGTAATCAGCCTGTTTTACAACTAAGAAGACTGCCTTATCGGGGCGTCGGTGGCTTAGTGGATAGAGCAGGTGCCCCACGTACAAGGCTGTTGCCGCAGCGGCCCGGGTTCGACTCCAGCCTGTGGCCCTTTGCTGCATGTCACTTCCTCTCTCTCTCTCCCTTTTCACACTTCACTATCCTATCAATTAAAGGCAAAAAATGCCTATAAAAATATCTTTTAAAAAAAAAAAAAAAAAAGAAGAAGAAGACACCGCCTTATCAGATCCGCCCACTTTGGCCGGTTAAAAACACGTGCGATCTGGTGCGCTCGCTCGCTTGCTGCTCCTCTCTGGTGTGTGTCTCTTGTTTTCCTCTTGTTTCATGAGTGTGTTGTCTAATGTTATTCCGATGGCCGATGTTATTCTGTTGTGTCCTATCAATTTAACGCAGGATAAAAAGCAGGGCTCAACAATAAACCGTGTCTTGTTGTCCCAAAGACATCAGAGGACGTCTTTGGGACAAACGAAGATCGTCAGGATGAAAGAACGCAGTAAATTCAGTTTTGATATTTCAGGAGACGCAACTTGTTTTTCCCCGATAATGCTACTTACAACAAATCAGTGTTGACGTCTGCAGGAGAAGAGCTAGTTATCGTTAGCTGTTAGTGGTCGCTAACGAAGGTCGCGTTGAGATACACTATGATCTGCTACATGAAGGTAAATTGGTTCATTATCAGGATGTGTTCAGATGTTATAATGTCAAATGTAGTTTTTGGCAAGAAACTTTATAAAAAATAAATAAAGTCTTTTGAAGGAGGAATGTGTCAATGTTTTCACAGCAATATAAAACAGATACTTATGATGCATTTATATTTGTGGTCATTCAAAGATCGTGTAATGAAAGCTGAATGATTGATTTGTTTGTTTCACTGACACAAAGGGGGAATAAATAACAACAAAAACAAAATGTGTATCCATTGTGTGTTTTATGTGTTGTTGTTTGGCTGCTGTCTGGGCCGGGTCTCCTGTGTGAAACAGATTGAGGACTTAAATATGAGTTAAATAAAAGAATAAAATACATAGAAATAAACAACAACATTAAAAAAACAGTATCAGCTATCGGCCAACTTGATGTGATAAACATCAGTATTATATTTATATTTTTATATAATTTTTAAATGTATTTATACGTGTGCATGTTTGTGTGTGTATTTATTAATTTGCTTTTTTATTTTAATTAATGTTTTCTTTTGTTACAGATTCGATTTACTGTCAGTATTATTTTATATATCACTATTTTACTTTATTAGGTATTTAAGTTTATGTATATTGTGTTTATATTTTTACATCAGAGTTTAATAACGGTATAAAAATATCAAAAGCATGAGGAGCGGGTTTGTTACCTTTCTCACAGGCGAGGTGAGCCAGCAGCGCGATAGTCTGGATGGTTTTTCCCAAACCCATCTCATCAGCCAGAATGCCATTCAGCTTTTTCTCGTACATGGTGACCAGCCAGTCGAGTCCAATGTGCTGGTATTCTCGTAACGTGCCATTAAGCAGGAATGGGATGGGGGTCTTCACCTTTTGTTGGAGAGAAGATGAGAAAATGATGGTTCAGAGGTGTCGAGGACACAAAGACTAACCTGAGTCTTTCTTCTTAGACTATTTCTGAGGGTCTCCTCCGCTCTGAGATTTTCTTGTGTCCCTAACAAAGAACAGAATCTTGGTGTGAATATTCATGACTGACCTTTGTGGTGGCCAACGTGTAGCCTTTAGGCTGCAGGCTCTCTGCAGTCGCAGCAATGTGGCTGATCTCTTTCTTTGGCCGTGAGCTAGCAGAGGGTGGGCTGTTGTCTCCCTCCTTCAGCAAGACCTCCATCCCTTCATCTCCACAGCCATCATCATCATCATCATCATCATCTTCCTCACTCTCCTCTTCATCCTTCTCACTGTCATCATCCTCTGCACTGTCTCCTGGTGAATCTGATTTTGCAGAAGGAAATATAAATGTTGCGACACCTCCAGAGTGGGCGCAGATAAACAATTTACATGAGATTATTTTGATCCCCTGCAGGTTGTTTTCCTACCTGAGGAGGAAGTGTTGCTTTCCACATCACTCTCATCTTCCTCAGTCTCCTCCTCCTCATCCCCAGACACCTCCGAATCAGAGCTTTCTTTGGAGCCAGATGCAGACGGTGCCTCAAAGTCTGAGGCGTATGCTCCTTTGTACTTCTCCAGCAGCTCCTCAACAGTCATATCACCTACAAGGGGAGCGGAGACATGATGTCAGGGTGGATGTTTACTGCTCCCGTTTTTAAACAGGTCACGGCATCAAGAGAACGGGATGTACACAACACACAGCTACATTAAAACAGCAATCAAAAGGACAGGCACAGATCAGTTATTAAACTTAGATTTAGTAACTTGAGGTTTTATTTGTCTCCCCTAAATTAACTTATGCTTATGGGGCTTAAAATAATCAGTAAATGTCGACTCTATACGTCGTAAAAAAATGCACCAAGATCGGACTGTGGATTAATTTTACCAAAACGACAGAGGACAGAATAATTAAGGTTTTTATGTGAAATAAATCACACAGTTCATTGTGGGAAAAGGAGCTTTATTCAGTTTTTGTGGAGGTTGAAGATGCAGGAATAGTTTGTGTTGGAATGTTAAGTCTCTTCCCACACGTTATAAAGAAAACACAACTAATACTAATGTATTTAACATTAACGTTAGACAAACACAGTTTCACCTCCTCCAGTGCAGCTTGTGCTAGGCCGACATCAAGAAGGCTAGCATTAGCATTAAGGGATTATTATCTTTTATTCTATTTCATTTCTTCATTTCCCTTATCTTATTACCATTATCATGTGTCTGATGTTCGATTCAAATATTAATTCTATCATTATCACTTGGAGTAAGGGTGGGAGGGAAACATGGATATCAGGTGGAGATTAGAATTAACAGCATGGGTTCAGTTCATGTTCTCAATGTTGTAGGTTCTGAGTACCAACCAGAGACCAGCTCACACTGACATCTTTAATATGTCATTGTATACGCCCAGAAATCTGGTCAAAGAAATCAACAAAAAGATTTGTGAAAGCATTAAATGACAGATTTTAGACAAGTGGCTGAACACGTTTGAGCCTCAGTTGGACCCAGACTCAGATGAGGAGTCACAGACATATCAGAATGGTTAGTCTAGTTCAGGGGTGTCAAACACACGGCCAGGGGACTCAACCACCCACCAAAGGGTCCAATCCAGCCCACTGGACGACCCTGCACACCTAATAGTAATGCACCTGTGAAGGCTGAGAGGTTTCAGGAGCCAGTTAAACCTGAAGCAGCTTTCTTCATGTAAAAAGCTGCTCATCTTGTCAAACTCAACACTGAGGACATATATGCATCTGAATGATTTCTTACACCTTGTTTATCTAGAAGCCAAAAATACTGTGTTCAGATCAGGCTTGAAATAGACGCCGAAGTCTACTGTGTGTGTTGACTCCAGATGTCAGATGATCAAAAGATTAAGTGGTTGTTTAATTTTGATGTTTATTAAGTTTGTTAACTTAACTTAAATTAACTATTTAATCAGCATCAATTCAAATATTTTTGGAAGTGATTTGAAGTCGCTAATTCCTCTTTATGAATAATCATTAATAGAAGCAGCTCTTCAGCCGAGGGGAAAGCACTTCACACAACTTCACAGCAATACAAGAGGCTTCTCAGCACCAGCGATGACACTTTCCATTTTATTCATAAATACCTTCTCTGGCCAAATCATCCAGCTCCTCTGCGTGATCCACGTTTCCCTCGACCTTCTCCTGGGCAGCGATGGTGTCCTCCTCATCCTCAGCTGAACATGGGAAGAGGGAGGAAACAAATATGACATCACTTAACTTGAATTAAAAGACAGAAAATAATCTCAAGTAATTCAGTGCAATATTTTTGACCCTTTTTCCAAGATATGTTCAAGTATTTACAACTTCAGTATCTTATCCTGACAGCGCCTTACCATCCTCTTCGTTGGCTGTGAATTCGCCATCTTCCTCTTCCTCCTCCACCGATGAGGAGGTTTCATCAGAGCATTCTTCATCTGAGCCCGACTCCTGTGTAATCCAATGATTCGGTGATTAAAAGACATACAAACATTTGGGATCTGGATCAAAAGAACTCAACAACTGCATGATATGTTGCATCAAATCTGTTACAATGCTTAAAAACCAAACACAGAATATTCCTTTATGATCCCGGCAGGTTTGAAATCAGATTATTGGTATCCGTGTTTCAGTGTGATGATCAGCATGTAAATGGCGAGAACATTAACCCTATAGCTGTATGTAAGTAAATGTGATTAAGAGCTTGTGACAAAAGCATCACTTCAAACTGTGGTTTCTCTCCTTTTAGACAACAGTCCCAGTCCCATCAGGTTTGTGACGTACCGTTGGCAGTTTGAGGGTGCTGAGTAACTGGTCGAGGGGCAGCAAGCCCTCCTCCTTCAGCAGTTCAATCTCTCTCCGATGGCTCTCAGCATCATTGCCCTCCTGTTGCTCCTCCACCTCTATGGTCTCCTCATCGTCCTCCTCCTCACATGGAGGCTCAAAGTCTCTGTCTGCATCAAGGAAAGAAAATAGTTTTGTACTGATAAATACTTGTTTTTCAGACCACTGTACATAGTTGTAAGGAAATAAGAAAACATATCTAATCTATCAATAATTGTTGCAGGTGCAAGACCCCCAGCAAATCTATCTGAGATTACCCTGACACACACAGACACACACGCACAGACACACAGTTTGAATTTTGAGGACAAAAGGAAAACATTACCAATTCTGTATGGTGTTAACAGAGATGTAATGTAACAGGTGTAATACTGCTGACAGGGGCTGATCAGTAAAGTAATAATATTACTTTAGAAAAGAGTAATGAGTTCTAAGTTACATGTTTTGAGTAATGAACCCAACACTGGTGGGCACGTGAACTGAAACACATCCAACATGCTAACAGCATCAACCAGAGGTGCCGATCACCAGGATCATGAATCTTTGGGTGCTTTGAATCTTAAAATATATCCAAAGTGGAACTAACTGAGAAACACCTCCAAATGCACAAATTATAGGTATTTTGGTATTTTTAATTTTATATGATGAGATGCTCCTGTTTCACAGCCTGTTTCAACAGTGTACTGCCCTGATCACACAGAAAGGAGGCGCACTGCACTGCCTTGTTTTAACCTGAATGCCTCTAGTGAAAAAAATACACCTAGGGGCCGTTCAGATGTAGCGTCTTTTGCGCGCACAAATCCATTAGTTTCAATGTAGACGCCCGTCAAGCGCGCTCACAATCCAAAGCGACGCCGTAGCGGTGCGCATTCAGTGCGACACGCCTGTTTTTTTGTGCGCGTCCACGGCACACAGAGATGGAAAAGTCTCAACTTTTTCGAATGCAGCAAGCACACTGCATGTCATGTGATAAGAATTAACCAATCAGCTCCACTGACCTGCTTCTTCCTTTTCGTCCAACGGACTTCACAACATCCGGTGGTGTGAAAGGCAGCAAGCAATGGAGGAGCGACTGATCATTCTTGTCCAGGGATATCCAGAGTTATATGACCTGTCTTCGTCGTACTACTTTGACTCCAACAGAAGGAACAATGCCTGGAGAATTATCAGCTCGGAGCTTGGGATAACTGGTGAGCATGATGATCAATCTACCCTTTATTTATTGTATGTATCCTGCAGTAATCAGTGTGTAGCTGCTGCCATGTTGAGGCAGAGGGTGCTGTTTGTAGCTCTGGTTGAGGGTGAGAGGCTGTCAGCAGATAAACAGAGATCTGTGTGGGTACATGAGACCCTAAAAAAGAGGCTGGATCATGGGGAGTACCACCAGTTGGTCCAGGAGCTTCTCCTCCATCATGGATGTTTACAGGCAGATTTTAGGACGACTCAGGGGCAGTTTGACAACCTGCTGTTTATCATCAGGCCGTATAGCTCTGGGTATCCAGCAACCACTACCACCAGTTTCTCCTCCATTGTTTACCAACTGTAAACTTGTTGTCGTGACTACCACAGAAGCCCCGCCTCTCAGATCATCCCATTGGACAATGATGGGGAAAAGATGACATGGGATGTTTTTCTGTTCTGAGTTTAAGTTTTTCCAACTCAAGGAGTTCAGAGCACTCTGGCTAAAACACCAGGCACCTAGAGTGCAGAAACACAAGACGCGTCTCAACGCAGATACCGCGAGCAAAAAGCTTCATTCTCATTTAAAAGAGAAAATTATAAAAAGGCGCCTCCAGCTGCTGAAACACTTTGTGTGTGATCAGGGCCAAATGCAAACACGTTTGAAATGTCTCTTGTTTTTATAATGAAAATAATTCACCAAAGACGACAGTGGACAAAATGTTCCCTCAGTCAGTCCCCAGCAAGAGGAAATACATAAATAAAAAAAGTATCTTAACACATTTTATTTCACTGTACTGAACGTGCATCGAACTGCAGCTCCTGTGTGCTGTTACACCTCTCGTCCTCACAGCCTCAGGCAGAGGTTCAGCTCCTACACAGCCTGTTTTAGAGGAAATTTCAGTCTGGGTGTCAATGACAGAGATTCTTGATGGCTTAGCAGATTGTCATGGCACTTTATCACCACTAAAACACTGTCAGATAATAAAATCAAAGTGAGACTGGACTCCTGACTCACAGACATGAACCACTGCCAAGTCTGTCCTTCGTCTCACTGAAACCAAAGTCACCTCCGTGCTTTAGGAATCAACTGCCATTGATAACATGGCCAGCTGACTAGTCTGACAGGTTTGACAAGTCTCAAGCCTGGCGGTTGCCAAGCAGCACTCGCTACAGTACCGTGAAAATGTTGTGCCAAGAAACGTTTTACTGTGCTGACAAATATTAGACTCAACGTCCTCTGAGTGAAGACGTGTTTGAGCCCAGGTAGTCAGACATGCAAGAACATGGCTGATTCTCTCTGAGATGCATAACCTTGAACATGAAGAAGAGCTTTTGTCTCCATGAAACATTTTACCTCTGTGGACGCTGAGGAAGATTCAATCATTGGTGTGTAGCTATGACAACGTCCCCGTCTGAGCCAATGATTCAGCTCTGAAAGCTGTGTCAGTACAGTACAGTTCAACACAGAGACAGTAAGCTCTGTTTGTGATGAGGTGGAGGATGGATGTAAAAAAAAATGCTTCTCACCATCCTCATCGACGGGAGCTGGCACAGATTTCTGTGGAGTCTGTGGGACAGGTTCAGGTTCAGCTTCAACAGGTCTGGTGGGTGCGAGTGACTTGCTGAGGAGGTCTGAGTATTTCTCCGTCTGGCCGACAATGAAGTCCAGCTGAAGGTCCAAGGCCTTCTTCCTCTTCTCCTCCAGTCTGGACTGCTGCTTGTACTGCACCACCTGTACGGACACAAGTGAAGACACCAACACTCTGAACACAGGGCTGCACAATGATGGCCAAAATGATAACCAGGACAGGTTTTAGGGACAATATTTTTATTGCTCTTTCACATTTAAATCAAAGGAGCACTGTGTTCACTTTCATGCTGTGCTACAGTCCTACTAATGTACAAAGCTCTGCATCAAAATGAAACTGGCTCTTAAACATGGTGCATCTCCTGGACACAGCACTGTGTTCACCTTGTGCTCCACTAACCCTAAACCCACGCTGACACAGGGAGAACATGCAAACTCTACACAGAAGGGCTCCCCCACCCTGGGCTTTGAACCAGGAGCTCTCTGGCTGTGAGGCGACAGTGCTAACCACTGTACCACCATGCCATCCGATTTATTTCAACGTGAAATGTAAAAACACACAAGGTTACTCTGCTGCTTCGTTTTGCCTCTGGTACACAGACTGTACTCATAGTTTCTACCTGTTGGAGGGCCGCAGAGCCGCAGAGCCGCACATTACAGAGAAAATATTAACGGCTAGGGCATTAACAGAAAAGTCGATGTGTTGACGTCAGTGGCACAAGTCGACACCCTCCCTGCGATGTGAAAAATACATGCTGAGCAGTCACTGGTGCGCGGAGCGGAGTCTGCGCGGTTGTAAAATCTGAGCTTTGCGCGCACAGGGTTTGTGGACGTCCGCTTTGAGTCCGCGTGGACCTCCGCAGAGTCCGTTCCGCGTACGTTCCGCCCGAGTATGTTCGGGCCTTCAGACACACATCACATGTGTGGAGATACTTCACTTTCCTCCGCCGTGTCAATGTGATGACGTCATCAAATGACTTGTCAACTCGACTTCGACTTTATTGACAGATAAGTCGACCTGAAAAAAATCAAAGTCGTTAATGCCCTATTAACGGCTGTGTAAAAATAACACTGAGGAGTGCGATGTCTGTGTGGGCAAGTGCAGCTTCTGTGGTCGCTGTAGTTGAGGTGATTATAATGGACAAGTACTGTTGTGGTGCCATGTCTGAGTCCCATATATTTTGGCCATAAGGTAGCATTAGCATTAGCATTCTTGACTGTCATGCATCATCGTATGGCAGTTTGTGCTGTTTTTTTTCAGACGCTTAAACAAGTTAGTTGTGTTGCTTTGTGATGCGGACACACAAGCCTTGTGCACTCGAAATCCAAAATACTTCCAAACAGTGCGCCAGCTGTCAAGTTAATGTAGGAAGCGCTTGATTTGATATTAAGCTGAGTTTTTTATGAACGAAACAGAGCATGCATTTTAAACACATAAATATCGCAGTTGATCTTGTTCATCCAAATGTGGGAAACTAAAACTGTGATTGAGATTAATATTCACTTAAAGGTGAATTCCAAACACTGACAGAAGCTAAACTGAAGCCTCAATGACAAGTATTAGACTAAATAAACTGTTGGTAATTTCACTTGTTGAGTGGGTCTCTGTGTGAGCTCTATGGTCTGAAAAGAAGAGTGCATTTTATTTCTGTAATAAAAACAATCAAACACGGGCCATGATCCTTTCAAACTCCACTGCTGAGCAGCGAAGCAGAATGTTTTGTTTGCTTGGTTTCTGTGAATCATCTGTACCTTCTCCACGCTGCTCCAGAAAGCCCGGACCTCCTTTGCGATAGAAGAGGCAACTCTCCTGATCTTAGCGTGCTCGTCTCTCTTGGCCTTTTCTTCTTTTTGCCTCAGTTCCTCGTGATGTCTCATCACCATCCGTACCACCTAATAACACATCAACACAACACATATACACATCATCAGAAATACAGTCCATGTAATGCTTCAAGCAACATAATGAAATGAAAATACACATTTAAAGGCATGAAAACACCCTGTGACATAGACTCAACCTACCTTCCTAGCCACCCCTCTCTTCCACCTTCGCTCCTGAGCAAAGTCAGCAGAGAGCCACTGCATCTCTTCGCACAGGTAGTCCCAGTGAACTTTGGGTCTTGGCGGCTCTGTCAGGCGGGTTAGACGCTTCATTGACCAAAAGCCCTCTCGCTTCAGTGCCTGGGTCCGATGCTCGATGTCTGCTTCCTACAAGGACACACTATGACCAAAGAAACCCTCTCAGTAAATCCTGCCAACTCAACAAGGAGGGTCAGGAGTGTGTGATGTACAGCACGCACACAACAGAGTTATCTTGTAGTTCATCTTCAAAAAGGTGTCTGGGCACATTTTGGATTTTATAACTTAAAGGGTGAGTCCACATATTTTTGTTTGTTTGTGAAGGTTTTTATATCACTCTGTAGCTTCCCTGTGATTCTACTCTGTAATTCTACTTTTGTGTTCAAATGTGAACATTTAAAATTTGGTCAAATCAGTTTTGTTTTAGCATTAGAATGCTGTTTTCTCAAACGAGTGGATGAAGATTCTCAGGTCATGGTTATCAAATGTGTTATATCGTAGGCAACTGGACTTGCTTGCGTTTCTTGAAGACGTTTTATTTCTCATCCAAGAGGCTTCTTCAGTTTGTTCAGTTCAGATGAGGTGAAACATCTTCAAGAAACGCAAGCGTGTCCAGTTGCCTACAAAATAGCACTCACGATCCCTTCTGCAAACATTTTCCCGTGTGTTTGCATGACGACATTGCTACATACAAACCCTCGAGACTGAACCAAGTCTTCTTTGACAAGTGCGTGTTATCGATCTTTCAGGTTAGCTTCTCTAACCCCCTAACTAGCACGGAAGCTGAGCAATGTACTGCTGAGGAAGGCACATAAGTTCGGACCAACAAGTCCCACAATAACACAAACAAAGTAAACAATCAAGGTGACTCCAGCGTTCGATGAGGTAAAATTACTGAGTCTGGTGGTTTTTAAGAAGACGCGATGTAACAGCTCCAGTTGCCTGTCTTCAGTTGGGCTGTCTGACTGCTAGGCCAAATGGTAAAAATATAACACTGGCTATGGATAAGTACCTCATACAAACCCAGACTAACCCTTTCAGTAATTATTATTATCATCATCATCAGCACTCTAACCTTCATCTCTGCTGTCTGCTCACTGCTGAGTGGGCGTTTCCATTTGAAAAACCCAGAAAAGATCACAGGTGGACGCAAACTTTAATAACTGACTTTGAAAGGAGAAGTACTTTTGAATTCTTCATCACACAGAGAGTAACTTGAGCAGAGTGGAGCACCAAACTCCTGCAACACTTTACAGAACCTCAACAGTCCATAGTCTGTTTAATGTCACCTTCAATGTGCACCTGTGCAGCGACTTTCCCTGGCTGTACTGTTGCAGCAGAGAGAGATATATAGCATTAATACATGTCTCAATCTGATGCAGTTCACTCACTCACAGAGTTTCTCTTCTTCTTCTCTGCAGACTAAAGAGACGAGTGAATGGTTCAGCACATAGTGAACTGGACTAACAGCCTAAAAATACTGTCCCCCTTTCTATTTATTGAGTCATGGATCAGTTTGAATAGAAAATCAATTCTGAATCAAATCCTAAGATTGTAAGGATCAGCACCCGTCTGGACTGCAGGCGCACAGCTGGAGTGAGAGCGGCAGTGTCTTCATGTTGATTATGCACTGCACAGCTGTCCGCTAGAATCCAGCTGGGTACGTACAGGTGAAGTAAAAACATTTAAGTCAAAGGTCCAGGTTGGGTTGAGTTTAGGCTCCTCCCATCATTTTAATTGCCTTTATCTCTCCTGAAATTATTTAAAGGTAGATATAAAATAATAATTAACTGATTACAGATCGTTAACATGGGCAGCTGTTGATAAAGAAAATGAGTCCAAAGTTTCATCTGACCCTAATGAGGATTAATCTTAATCAAAGGGTATTGTTATAAGTGTTTTTGAGGACTACGTACTGTGACATGTTCACCATCATCACGTCAAGACTGCGATGGCGAGAGACTGTAAGGCTCTAACAGAGGCTGATACACAGACCTCAAGTCTGCTTCACTCGTCGCTGCGGAAACATTCGAACGACAACTATCTAATTGTTAAAAGACCGTTATTTTCTTTTTCAATCTTTTGTAATGACAGAATTATGTAATTAAAGTAGCACATTAATTTAATAAGTGTGGTGACCTAAGCTTCCGGTGTTGTAGGTATAGAAAGTGAGATGCTGGCTCGTTCTGATACTGTGCAGGTGTGCAGCGGTGCAGGTGTGCGTCTGCCACACAGAAAACCAGGTCAGAAGTTTGTTTGCTTCAATGATGACCACAGAGATGCCACTGGTACGTGTATGTGAACACGTCTGGCACCAGCACAAAAAATAACCATTTACAACTTACAGCAAATGAAGTGTTCATGTAGCGTGCGAGCCGCAGTGTTCCACAGGAGGCAGGACCTGCCATTTGTGTACTTTCATTCATTCATCTAGTTTCATTTGTGAGAGGGTGCTGTGTGTAGATACAGTAGAGTGTGCTGTAATTGTTGCAGCACGTGTGATTGTTCTCATTGCTTTTTGTGCGTGGACAAAATAATATATGCAATTTCTTTTAACTTATAGTTTACTCACCTTCAAATGCAGAAATGTTTGTACACAAGGATCAGAGTATGACTGAATAAACTGGGTTTAACTTCCACTGAAGGACCTTCTGTGGTTGTTTTTCGGCCATTTTTCTCAGCTCATAGACTGAATCACAATGTTTGTTTACAAAAACTCCCTACGTCACACACATGAAAAGAAACGGCACCGAGCAAACGCCACCTCAATCGGTTAGTTTATAGCCACGTGAAAAGTGTCCCACCTAAAAAAAGTGGTGGTTTTGGTTTAAGTTGCTCGCAAAGCAACACAGTACACAGAATAAGTACGGCAGAAGCGTCAGGTGGGTCAGACCACTGTGTTTAACTTTATGTTTAAATTTTACAGTTACGGCTCAAAATGACAAGCAGATCTTACATTTCTCCACAACTCTACAAATCTATTGCCAGTTGTTTACTCAGAACTGATTGTTGTTGTTGACGTCATGGTGATTAGTCTATTTATTTGACATCACACTGCACGGATTGTATAGAGCAGGCTGCCATAATAAAATGCATTTTGATTATGTCTTCTATTTCTTTATCATGATGTGGGCGAGTATTACTTCTGATCGACATGACTGGAGTAATAATCACGTTCATATTAAGTTCCATTTGTTTTTTCAGTCAGCAGTTGGAAAAGCTACAACACAATGATTCAATCAGCGCAGTCTAGTGAAGTCTGCACCCTGAGCGCTCTCTCTGGAAGTCTGCAGAAAGTCAACTTAAGGCCCCTTGTGGAATGGATAACATGTGAATCTGGACACTCGCAGATTTCCCTTGAATGCACCTGCAAAGTCTGAGAATCTGTGAGTGCAGCGGAGTCTGGATACTTTAAGGTCCTGCTCCAGGATGCTTCAAGTCTCGATTAAAAGCTGTCTTAAATTTGGACTCCCCAGAAGCCATATTCAAGCCTTCAGGCATGAAGCAAATAATCTCTGAACTCACAATTATTCTCAGTAAACTGAGGATGTAGTCAAAGAGTGAGAGGCGCTGACAGGTGGCGTGATGTGTCAGACACACACACACACACACACACACACACCTCAAACCACTGAACATCGTTAGTTCTTCTTCGCTCAGGCGGCTGCCTTCCTACAGTCACTTTTTATACACTGTGTCTTCAGTCACACTCACATGTTTAGCCAGCTCTGCCATGTCTGTGTGACGCTCTCCACGGGGTCGCTGAGGGGTGGCCTGATCCGGTGGGGAAGAGGAGGAACTGTAGCCGCCAACAGAGGAAGGAGAAACAAACTTCCCATGAGGACCCCGGAGAGGCGAGGACTTCTCCCGTCGTGGGGTGGACCAATCACTGGTGGGTGAGGGGCCGGGGTAAGACGACGAGGTGGAGGGTGAGACAGGGGAGGAGTTTGCGGTGACCCTGTCTGCTATCCACTGGCGTACCTGAGGGTCAAGGAAGAAGATGAAGAGGACCTTATTTGAAACGTGAGCATAGCGAGGTAAGAGCAGTAAGATTCACTAAGATAAAAGCTACATGCATGAATGAGGTTAGAGCAAGCGTTTACACAAGACTCCAGAATTATGAACTAGCCATCAGTGACTTTCTGTCAGCGTTGGTCTCATGCAGGATTACAATCACAACACAGCAGACGTCAAAGGAACGTCTTTTTAAAGTGGAAATAGACAAGTTTTTTAAGCTGTTAAACTGAATGCTCCAGGTCTCTAATTTGTGGCTGTAAAGTTTCACGAGGCTGTGATTATCCTTGAGGTCACAATAGGTCATTTTATACAGTGATGTCAATCAATACAATAAAATGGCTGCTAATAGGAGCTAACATCATCACACATGGACGAAACTGGACTCACTGAATACCCAAGAGCCTCGGTTTCCACTCATATCCAAGTTGTGCAATTCTAAGACTGTTTAGGGTCCCCAGTGTGCAAACATGTTCAAATACAATTGAAAAGAAAACAAATATGCACTGCATACAAAAACTGCATGGGATCAGAGTAAAGTTGGCCTGTCTGTAAAGGGGAGACTCGTGGGCACCCATAGATTCACATATCTTGAGGTGAGAGGTCAAGGGACAGCCATGCCAGTTTGGCCTTTACCAAAATCTAGCCTACACCTAGACTGTTCTTTAGCTCCCTTCCCTACAAGCTAGCATGACGCGGCCGGTCCGCCTGGATTTCCTTAGTTTCATATGATCCCGTCAGGATCTTCACTCTTCAAAACTCAGCCTGCTACAGCGTCTGAAACACACTAATGTCAGCCGAGGACGCAGGCATCCCTGTGGAGTGGAAGAGGTTAACTTATCATTATCAAGTAAATGTTAACTGCACAATGTAATGGCTACAGAATGATGACACCGTCTGTGTTCAGATGAATTCCCTATAAGCCTCGCTTTCACTTTGTAATCCTGTCTGCCACTGGGTAAAATCTCCCCAGGCTCCATTTACGGCACAAAGAAAGTGTGTCAACTAGTGCACAACCAAAACAGGAAGAGGATAGTGCTTCTGTTTTCCCCGGCAGCGACTGATATCTATCAGTGGTTACCAAAAAGGATCAGTGTAAGTTATTTGCAGTTACTATCCCCAGCAGTGGAAATGATGGCGATGGAACAACCAAAGTGAGCGTGTCTGGTGGTCGCTGCTCGGCTCGGAGGAAAACAGAAAGTCATGTGGTGTTTTTTTGGGCAGCAGCGCCAACAATAACACTACATGTGAACCGTGTTGTCTGTTTCCACTTTAAGTCAAAATGCCCCCCGTCATTAGCAGTGACAGCGCCTGACTAGGAAGTGCTCGTGAACATCCCGGTGAAAGGGAAACTATGTGGGTGTCTGACAGCCACCACTTACCTTTAGGAACAGTGCCTTTCTGTCTGTCCTGCTCTGTCCATGCTGGAAAACACACATGGCTTAGCATGCGGCCAACTTAAGAGAAATAAATCACTAAATAATAGAAACACACGAGTGACATCAACATTGACTACATGCAGAAGGATGTTTAGGATGAGGCCGCACTTGGACAGTAAAGACATGCCAGCGTACCTGAGATGAATTACAGAAGCATTATGACATCACAGTGTGACAACATATGTTTTCAGCCAAGTTAAAATCTTTGTCCGTGGTGATTGACAGCTGTCACACACTATATTTAAGTTAGTGTCTCATTATCATGTTTGTATTTTTGTGTATTTTTCCTTTCCTGTAAATCTATTTTCTCTGATGCACAAACTGAAAACATTCATGCATTACAAATTGCAATAAGCATCTTTAAATAAAAACCTATATTTACCCCAATTTCATCACAACTACAGAGTGTGGCACATCTCCACAGCCTAAGAGACTGAGTTACGTCGTAAAAACTTGTTCCTCAGACTGCACAGTGCAACCTGACTTCAACTTCAGTGCGGCACTTAATAGATCGTTCACATTAGAAGGTAAAAACACAACAAACAAAGGAACAGCAAGAGAACACATCTTGCTCCCTCCTCGTCACGATGTACCAGATGTCCAGATACAGTTTTGGCATTTATCAACATTGTTTTCACTTCAGCTGTGCCCTCATTTCGTTGGTGTCTGACACAACTACTTTACCTTGGCATTCAAGGACAAAGCATTTAGTATTATGATGAGGCCCAGAGCTTCATTGCAGCCTGTACAGAATGTCCTGTTCTCTTTTTACAGGTTTTTAAATCAATCTTCAAATGTCTGTTTTCATATTTTATGAAGACATCACCCAAAAATAAGTGAAAAATCCTCAAACAACGTCCTCAATTTGAACACAGTGAATCAACAGATGAAATGAGTTAAGTGTTGTTTTTAATTAAATGAACTTTCTTTCATGAATTGATGTTATGGCGCTCTTAGATCGCTGCTAGACCACCACGATGACAAAATGCCTCCCTTTGTGAGGTTCATGAGAGGCTAACACTGACTGTAGCAAAATATTGTGATTTTTGGAAATGATGACGTCCATCTGTTTTTTAATAAATTTTGACTTTTTGACTTTCTATTAGAAATGTTTGGAATACACGACTCAAAATGTAGAAATACCAGGTTAAAAGATCCAGTGTGCAGGATTTAGGGGGATATACTGACAGAAATGAATATGATACAATAAGTATGTTTTCTTTAGTGTCTAATCATGTTGTTTATATTACCTTAAGATGAGCCGATATATATATAAAGATATATCTACACAGGGAGCAGGTCCTGTCTACAGAGATCACCATATTGCACTGCTATGTTTCTACAGTAGCCCAGAACAGACAAACCAAACACTGACTCTAGACAGAGACATTCAGGTCACAGCCCCTCCAGGAGAAGAGCAAAAGAACACATTTATCTTTTTAAAATTGAAACTGCTTTTTTCAGTGTTTTTACCAGTTTAAATCACTGGATCTGTTTGTTCGGGAGAGCAAGGGACCCCTGGAGATAATTCGGCTCCTGGTAAAAACCTCCTGAGCGTCTGAGTTTTAAGTTGTCAAAGACAAAAGGTGAGCACACACCAGGAGGTCCCAGGCTAACGGCCGTCTCCAACGGGCCGCACAGCACGTGAAACTGCTTTATTTAGTGTTAACATAATAACATAATGCAGCTCCCACTAAAAACCTCCTGAACAATCAACATTGAAGGAACTCTAACATGGAGCAGTTTCAGCTGGTTGCAATCTGCAGTTGTCACCACTTGATGCCACTAAACCCCCTAAATCTGACACACTGGACCTTTAAACAGAACGAATAGACATGTAAAATGTGCAGCATCCGAATGTTGATTTAGAATTTGAATGTCTCAGTAATGAATGGCACTTCTAAATATTCAGCTCAGCTCTACTTGAGTGTTTCATGTTGTTTAGAGTTACTTCCCAAATGTTCAGATCTGTTGCCTCGCTGCCTCTTCACCCACAACTGTCATTCCTCTGCAACTTTCTAAGTCTCACATAAAACAGATTTAATATATATATGTAGATGATTTTTGATGACAATACCTTATGTGGTGAGCTGTGGGCGGTCATCTCACTTTCTGTTTTGTCTTCATCAGGTTCTTCATCACTGCCTTCCTCTGGACTGCTGACCTGTCCTGAAGTGGGCTCCTGAGCCTCAGTGTCCTCAGTTGGTTCGTCCTGCTCCATGTCGTCACCCTCCTCCTCAACATAGAGCGAGTCCGGTTGGCTGGCAGGGTCATCCAGACTGTTTGGTGCCATGACTGCACCGTCTCTTTCAACGGATGCTGAGAGCATGTAAAGGGCGTTAGGCGTCGTAGCTTCTGTCGGGGTGACAACATCCTGGGACGCAGGATTTGCTTCGCTTGAAGTTTTAGTAACAGTTAAGGCCTCTTTGTCAGATTTGCTTGTTGAGGTTGTGGGGGTGACAGATGCAGTCTGGCCAAGTTGAAGCGAGTTACCGCTCATAGTGGGCTGCTGTACCTTGACAGGCAGGGCTGCTGACACTGAAGTTTTATTGACAGAGCATTGCGTCTGATCTTTATGGCCGCTAGGAGCCACGGGCGCACATAAAGAGTCTGAGACAGTTTGGGGAAGGCACTCCTCAGACACTGTGCCAGACCAAGAGCTGTGGGCATTGGCCAGATTGCCGGCTGCACTCTGCTGCTTGGACACCTGTGCCAAAAGGGGGGGTGGGTGTATCAGGAGAGGAGTTTCTCCCTGTTTAAGAAGGAGCAGCTTTGGATTTATAACACCAGAGGAGTGAGTGGTGCAGAGAGCCTCTGGTTTGGTTCCTGCGGGCACAGCAACATTCTGGATACTCTGTGATGGAGTCTCTGTCAAAGCAGGGGTGTCTTTGGTCCCTTCGAGTGAAGAAACATAGGCCTCACGCTTTGTGGCACTTACAACAGTCTGATTTAGAGAGGGCTGAACATGTAGTGAAACAGCAACAGGGACGTCCTCACCAGTAACCACCGGGGATATGAAAGAGAGTGCACCAGTTGCTGCCTCTACTTTCTGTTTTTGGGGAATCATTTGAATTACAGGAGAATCACTCACCTCTGTTTGGTCCAAAAGGGCTGCACTGACCTGTGTGCAAGATGTCACAATTTTTGGACTGGTGCCCGTCTGTTCAACAGCGAATGAGTCAGATGTAACAGCAGCTACTTCAACTAAACAAACCTCACTTGAGTTAGCCACTTCAACAGCTTGGTTAGCATCTAATACCAAATGCTGCCCGACCGCTGCTACCCTTGTGTTTTGTATGGACAAATTATGGGAATTACTGTTCGCCTGTATTTGATTTGCATTAGGCAACGAAGGCAAGGGCTGCTGGGAAATAATGACGGTGCCACTTTCATTAATTGTGTGAATAGATGGTTCAAGGTCCTCCTCAGAGTGCTCCAGTAATGCGTTGAATAAGTTCACCTCATATCCTGGAGAGTGAGGTATCTGTGCACTACTGCTGGCACAGACTGTTTCCTCAGCAACCTCCTCAACCAGGGTGCAAAACTCGTACACTTCCACGGGTTGTGAGTCTAACTCAATATCTGCCTCAACACTCTCATACAGCTTTGGTTCCCCAGTAGAGAGTTCAGAGCTCAGCTCGTTAACAATGGCAGCTTCACAGACGCTGCCGTCTTCTCGCTGCAGGAGGTAACTCTGATTCAGGTGCATGTTAGACCAGTCCCCACTGATATGAGCCTCCTCTCTGACAACAACAATTTCTTGAGCTTCAGCTGAATGCACAAGCTCAGCAGTGAGTGGCGTCTCTGTTGTGGGGACTTGGTCGGAGGGATGAGATGTTTCTGCTTCAACAACCTGCTCCGCCTGCAGTGAAACAACCAGGCCTGTGTCAAACAGTGGCGGTGCAACAGAGGGTTTGGAGGAACTCTCCTGTGTGTAGGAGTACTCTGGCACCATTGTTAAGTCGGATGAGGAGGGGTAAGTTTGTTCTTCCCTCATGCTTCTCTCCACCTGCTCTCCTTCCAGTGGATGGCAGCCCCTCTGGATGTTGCCGGACACTGAGCTTCCTTTTCCGGGAGAAGTGTATAATCCAGGAATTGGTTCTCTTGCCTTTGGGGTCTCAAGTATTTCAGCGGAGGGAGGTTGTATTTCTTTGTGAGAAGTGTCAACAAGCTCTTTAACGTGCTCAAACATCTCAACTGCTTCCAAAGAATTTTGTTTCTGTGTTTCTCTGGCATCATTTGAGATCTCTTTGATGATTTTCGGTTGTGTTTTTGACAGGTCAGTTTGTTTAATCTCACTGTCGACAGGTGAGGGTAAAGGCAGCGGAGACGATTTTGAGTCCTGGCGGCCACCTGCCTGCCCTGGCGGAGGTATATGGCTGCTTTGATTTGCGTGGACAAGTGGGTCCCCATCAGGCTGCTCCGTAACCCCGTGTTCTGCGGTGTCTTGGACTTTAACACTTGATTGTGGGATAGATGGAGATGAGGCCGTGAAACAGATTTGAGACTGGGGTTGAGGGAGAATATTTCCGCCTGTGTGCTCTTTTCCACCAAGTTCCATGTTTGTTCCAGTCTCTGGTTTATATTCCAATGTGACAGACTGTTTCTCCTTTGTCCCCGTAATAACCACAACTCCAGCACCTTCTCTAGGTGGCTGAATCTGGTTTGTCTGGCTAATTGAGTGGCTTTTCTCGTTATCAGTTTGTGACCCGTATTGCAACTCCTGCACTGTGCTGTCAATCTGTGTATCTGTGGCGAGAGGGGGACAAAGGGAAGCTGGAAGCCTTTGCATCTCAGCGGAGGAACTACAGTCCTCATTGAGGGATGTTTGCAAGGACCTCGAAAGTCCGACAGCGCTCTCCTCAGCAGGGACTTGTTCTGAGATGCTGTCCTTGGAGTCGCTGCTGATCGGGAGAGTCTCAGGCAAGTTGGTCTGAGGGGCGTTCTCCATGCCGAGGAATGCTGGGTCGTTGCTCTCCGGCAGTGGCACAGTGGACGGATTGGTGAACGGAGGGACTGGGCGGGAGGCAGCTGCGACCGGCTGCGGGGCATGCCGAGGTGACTCCCCAGCCACATTCTGTGCAGCCTGGGGGTTGCCACCCAGCACATCCACAGCCGGAGAGGCACGCTGCCGCACCGCCTCCTCCCCAGAGCTTCCTTCCTCTGTGCTGCCCCGGCTACACACTGCACCTGTGGGTGATACAGGCTGTTAACAAAAGTGTCTGGACAAAGTAAAGGCTGAAACAGAGCAGGAAACAGAAAAAAAACAACTCAGCACAAATGAAATCTGTGCTACTGCTGCTGCTGCTGTGTTATTGCCTTTTAAATTCAAGTACAGGACAGTGTATTCTCCTTTAGGCAAAACACACATCTACGTTCAAACATTATTTTCCACGATCAAAATCTCAGACAAAAGAAAAGTCCATCATCAAATGTGTGAGTAAAGCAACAACTTCTCACCTGTCTGTGGTGTGAGACACAGATCTTCTGTGCTTTCTACTTCCAGGATGCTGAAATTAGGGTCCCCTCCACATATTCTGAGGAGGCAGAGATACAGACGAATGTTAACTTCATTATTTCAACCAATCGAGCAACTGCAAATCTCCACGTTACCATTAAAAACTCTGATGTAGCGCAGGAGCATATCTGTGCTCCCAGGGTCCTGTGTTCCCCGGCTCAATATCCTCTGAAAATGATTCATTAAGAAGACGTTTCAAAGGGTTTTATCTTCTCAGCAATGTTCTTTCCTGAGGTCAAATGTTCAACGTATGTCTCCCTGGTTCAACACGCTGATATCACACACTGACTGACTTACAGCCATCTGATGTTACACTCTGAAATTGGCACCCTTAAATTTGTGGGACAGTTTTCTTGACTTCAGACATTCATATCTCCAGAGTTGGTGAACAGATTGTGAACTTGACATCCCTTAGTTCTTTTACTATGTGAACTGCAAAGCTCATAAAATGTTAGTTTCTGTCATGAGGCACGGGACACTGGGAACACTGGACACTGGGAACACAGGGATGACCCTATGCTAGCCACACAACATCATTGCTGTAGAGTTTTGCAATAAAGGTGCCAATGCTAGAATTAATTCCATCAGACATTTGGTAAACACAAGAATCTCAATGTGTGGGACGATGAGCAACATGTCACGTCACGAGAGCAGCAGCAGCAGCAGCACTCAGATAGCTGAGGCTAGCCAGCTGCTAGGAGCACATACACGGCTGTGTTTCAGGGCATCTTGCAGCAGGAACAGAAAGACTCAGTGAAGCAGCACTAACCGAGCAGCTCCGTTAGCTAGCTCTGTTAGCTCGCTCTGTTAGCTAGCTCCAAGTTGCATTTGCTGCAGTCGCCCACAGCAAGATGTTAGGGAATCTGCAGCACGCGCTCTCATGCTAAAAGCCGGGTGACCGAGCGCGCGGGCCTCCACTCATTCATTCATTTCTCGTAAATGTGGCTGTAATTCACTGTGGTCAGTTGTAGCTACGTGAACTTGTAGATGATGATCTACCTCGACAAACTGCACCTTTATTCAGGAGGTGTCTGTGTCTGTGTGTGTGTGTGTTGGCCGCGTGCATGAGATGAAAGCTGTGTGAGTGTTAATAAAACCACCAGCTTTGGATCGTGATCTGCACTAAAGCCACACATTGAGCTGGTTACACGTTAACGCCTAAACGCGACCGGTCTTGGCTGGTGTGGTTAGCTGGCTAACGTTAGCTCTCCACAATAACACTTGCTTGGGTGGCACTAAAAAAGGAAAGGCTGCTAACTAACTAGCAAGGTACAAGAGTTTAGTAAAGGGTGCGTTCATTTTGATGCGCAGGCGCCCCATCCCCGCCCGCAGTTATGTAATGCTCCAGCCCTGAAACAAGCCCGTTTGTGCCGACACATTTCATGAAGTTACTTCGCTGTGAGACAAAAAAACATCTGAAAAGTCGCATTAAAACGCGCTTGTGCATCATGCACTATACAGAGAGGGGGACAATCGCTCGTGACGTCATTGCGTGGGGTCAAATCTTGTTTCCATGAAAATAAATACGTTAAAATTATTCCGTTTTCAGCACTAATACGTGTCACTGACTGACCAGATATAAAAAAGAGCGAAGGATCAATGTTATAAAAGTTCCATATAAATTTTGCAATGATTATACGGGGGATTTAGGGGGACCCAAACGGTCCCACGGCTGGCTCTTTACAATCGACGGAAAGGAAGTGGTTGTTCAACGGTGACCAGTTTACCTGAGCGCGGCTTAAACTGGGAATTATTCGGCGTTGTGTGTTTTTATTCCGGTGTCCAGTCTCGATTTGAACGTAGTGTCACAAGATTTTAACGCAGTATGTTCACAAAAACACGACCAAGTCAAACGCAGTCTGACTGTGTCCTTTCGTTAGTCCGAGCCCCCCCTTCAATCCCCCCATTACTTCCTCCTTGCCCCCCTCCCCTCTCCAAGGCCGCCATCTTAAGTTCCCACCTACCTGAAATTTCCGACCAATTTTCTTTTACTAAATTCTCGTTGAAGGAGTCGTCATCCGCGTAAAATCGCACTCAATCCGTGATGCCAGTAATCCAAACTGTCTCCCGGTACCCAACGAGGTACCACTAGGTCTGTGGGAAGAAGTTAAAATACGGACCGGGAGAGACTGGGTTTCGGCGCAGAATGTAGCGGTCGCGGGGAGGAGACTTTACGCAGCGAAATGGTGGAGGACCGCTGCTGCTGACAAAGTACACAACTCGGGGAAATCTCGCGAGATACCGTCAAGCGCGCCACTTGAAATTTTGGTGTCTCTGATTGTAGTTTGTTGTCAGAGGCGAGACTCCGGACTTATTGTAGTTTGATCGGTTTATTAACACCAGACTTTATAATCGACAGACTTACGTTAACACGACTGACATGAGGCGACTATAATATGCCACATTTAGATCGTTATGTTCAGTTGTAACAACATAATAAACCTTATTGAGCCCCAGAGGAGACACTCTGCTGTTGAAGCAGCACACAGACTGCAGCAGTACACACACACACACACACACACACACACACACATACATACATATATATATATAGAGAGAGAGAGATAGAGTCAAATAAGAAATAACACTAGGTTTGTTTTTCAAGAAAGGCTAAAAAATGAATGGTGTAAAAACTACACAAGAACATATGGAGACAAACGTTTCAAGGTAAAGTGACAGTAGCAGCAGTGACACTCTGTTTTGTCTGTAATAATATAGAGATGTAATATAAATATAATAGAGTTTGATCTTTACAGCGACAAACAGATGGTGATGAAGTATTCAGATCCTCTAATGAAGTCAAAGTACAAATACCACACTGTAAAAAATACTTTGGTACAAGTAAAAGCCTGCACTGAAAATGTTTCTGACAGAAGGATATCAGTATCATTACAACATGTGGGCTGTTTGAAGTGTTTAAAGTACTAATACCAGATAATACTCTGCTGCAAGGAGGCCTGAGTCCTGCATCGGAAATATTACCTTTAAAAGCATGTAAGTATCAGAAAACTAATTAAAGTAAAAACTAATGAGCAGTGGTGAGCAGAGGTGGGTTACTCAAGAGACTGTGTTAACTCTCCCATATATTACAATGGTAAACTACAAAAGGCCAGAACCCAGTTCTGAACACAATAATATTACAGTGTTGCACTGAAATAATAACTTATGCAATGGTATTCAAGTATAAACAGGAAATGAACTTAAAGGTAAAAGTACTAGGCGACACAAAAAACACAAGTTTAAATGTCTTGCATTGAAATGTTACTTTTAAACCAATTTTGGCATTGATTATATTATATGTGTTTTGGAGTTGCACATTATTATTATTATCTTTGACTCTATTTGCAGCTGTTGCACACCACCTTCCCTCAGGATATATATATATATATATATATATATATATATATATATGTCAAGTTTTAGTTTCTTACCTTATAATCAGGAAATGTACTTAAACTATTAAAAGTACTCAATACAGAAAAATGTCTCCTGTGTGTTCTGTGACTTTTATACTGTTTAATATAATATTTTATACTGTTTAATATAATAAAGATTATTATTACTTGTGCATTAATGTAAAAGCAGGTTTTCACTGTTGTTAATTAACTATAAGTTTCATCATTAATTAATCAGATTATTTTCTCCATTGATTTTAGTTTTTAAAAGATATTGTAAACAGTGGGAGATGCCATCACAATGACCAGAAGTGACACTTTCATTTGTTGAAACCTTAATATTATTCAAAGTATATTTAATATTATTACATTTATTAAAAGAAGCTGCATATCTTTACATCTGTGAAGAAGTAGTTGAGGAATCAACAAATCATTTCAGCTGTATTTGTACCGACGGTTTGGTAGTTTCATTCATGACAAAACAGATTTTATGAGCTTGTCACGTTACGTGTGCAACAATCTGAATGTGTAAAGTAACCAAAGCTGTCAGGTTAATGTGGTGGACTACAACGTACAATATTTCCCTTTAAAATGAAGTGGGGTACAAGTGTGAAGTGACATGCAAATAAAGTTTAAGTACCTCAAATTTGAAGTAAAGTCCTTGATAAAATGTACTTGGTCACACTTTGCTTCTGGCTACATGTTATGATATATAATGTTTGTTATTGGGAATACATTTATGATGGAGGGACCTGGACATCTGAGGCACGATGATCTTACTTTTGATAAAGCCTGGAGAAAAGTGAAGTGCTTCCCTGCTCTGCTTTAAACACAGGATTATTAATATGACAGGTGCTTCAGAATTTCCTTTGGTCTGTTTGTGTAACAGATAAATGGACGGGAAATTCTCGTGTCAGCGATAATCTGTCACTCTGTGAAGAAGTAGTTTGGCTGATACTAAATATAAAACTGAAACAGTTGGTCAACAGACAGAAAATTATTCATCTCTTTGAATAAAAAGGCCAGAAATTCACAACTAAAACATAAATATGTGCTTCGTCTTCTCTGATGTGTCAACCTGGGTATTTTTCACTGTTGTCCAATACATCAAGAAAATAACTGGCAGATAAATCATCAACAAAAATGATAGTTGCTTTCCTGGTGTTAAAAGAACAAAAGAGCCACACGCCAGAGTAAACAACAATTCATTTAATAATTAATCTTTGTGGTCTCTAGGGGAGGGGTTTGAAAGGTATAAAATGGTCATATTAAAATAATCGACCCAGTCTTTTCCCTCTCAGGATACCCACTGTTTACTTGTCTTGTGACACAAGTCCTTATATTTTTTTTTTTCAGTTCTTCAGCAGATGTCCCACTTATCCATGTATATAACTTATTTTTATTGATGAAACAACTCGACAGTTCAATGTACAAGGCTCCCATAGTCCCAAATGGATATAACACACAACCAATGACACACAGGCAAACCTCCCTCTCAGCATAATAAAGTCGTAGATGAGATCCATGACGAGGCTGGAGGCTGCTATGGAGACGGCTTAATGTTCACAAGCATCGAAACAGTTTCCTGTGACGCGAGCCTTTATGCTTTGTCTTCTGAAACAGATTACTACCTGGTGAGAGAGTACTGGTTGATACCCGAAACAAAGACAAATAACATAACAGTGAATATATTTATTATTATAGAAGATAATTAATGTTAAGAATAATAATTACAAAGGCAATTTCTCTAGACTACTATAATCTGGTCCTGCTCATATAGTCAAGAGGAGAGTGGGAAACAGTTACAGGAAGCTCTAAAGTTCTGTGTTCACTCACACAGTGTAGCACAGTTCATTTCGCCATTCATCCTTTGAAAACAAAAACAATAATAGCCAAAGAAAAAGGTTGAATCTCATTATGAGTGAAGCTGAGGGGTTCAATTTTTGGGGTAAAGCAGGAAACTGAGGTGCGATGCTTACCGATCTTCATTAGAATGATCTCATCAATAATCTGTCTTTCCACAATGACAAGAAGACACAAAGACAGAACAGAAAGCACCACTTTACCACTGTATTTCTAAAATAACCCTCATCCACCTAATCAGGGTTGATTCATGTAGAGGAAGGCTTTGTAATAATATCCCATGAGTTAACCAAGCTGAGGATGAACCCTTGACGTGATTTCACAGTGTACATCCCTCTGGAAGTCATTTCCAATCCACCCGGAAAAAGGCTTGCTGAAGAGCATGGATCATAATTCACCTGACCAATGAAAGAAGAGCTGTCCTCTTCCTACAGCTTTCCAAATCCACCACTGTAATAACCAACAGGCAGTATAAAATAAAAATACACCAATGATGCACAGAAACCATGTACCTTTAAATTGCACTGACAGAACCATTGCGCATATTCCAAGTCACACTGATGAGTCTTGCATTTCCCTCCCTACCATCACCTCCAGCCAGTCATGGTTACCCTTCCTGGGGGAGGGGGCTGGAGCTGGTTTGGTTGTGTGACTGGGAGGGCAGGGTTTAGTAGTCTGCAAGAGGAATAGGGGGCAGGTTGAGAGCAGCACAGTGATCCTGACATTTCCCTTAATCTCCTCCAGTGTAGTCCCTGTACTATCTGGACTCTCCGTCTTTGTGGGAGCTGTACAGTGCCAGCTCACCTGGCCCTCCAAGTCTACGGGGAGGTGTGGACGACCGGCTGGTGATGGACGGAATGAGGGGAGGCGGTGCCCCCACCGCCAGAGCTCCCACCAAGCCTGCAGGGGTTTTTGCCAGGATGCCGTTGGGCACGTGGTGGGGGTTTAGATGGCCGAGACGGGCGAAGAGGCCAGCGTGGTGCTGGGAAGCAGGAGAGGCTCCGTGGGGGAGCGAGTGGGAGAGAAGGCCAGGGTGGAGCTGCTCCAGGTGGGCGGCAGTAGCAGCATGAGAGGGGCTCGAGAGGTGAGGGCCAGTGGGGATGTGTGGGTGCATCCCAAAGTAGCGAGCCCGCTCAAAGTCTTCCCTCAGGATCTGGGCCCGCTGCTCCTCATCTATCAGTCCTCCTCCTGGGGGTCCGAGGTGAGGAGGGCGGTCAAAGTGAGGGGCCATTAGGCCGAACTCCTGGCGGACAGCAGAGGTGGAGGCAGAAGAGGTAGATGTCGGAGGGTGGTGAGGGTTGGCTGCTGCGGCTGCAGCTGCTACAGCCGCAACCCTCTCTGCCTCCAGAAGGCGCTGATGCTGGAGCAGTCGGGCCAAATGTGGATCGGATCGCAGGGCTAGGTGAGGGTCTGAGCGAAGTGCCAAAGCTTCTCTACGATGCTGATGTTGCTGCTGAGCTGCCAGCTCCCTCCAGGGGTCCCACGTGAAGCTGTGTGGACCCTGTGATGGTCCTTGGCCTGGGCCGTGGTGGAAACGGTCTCCTCCTGGGCCCATTACCAAACCCGCAGCGCCTGTGCTCCCCAGATACGCTTCAATGGCCCTGGAGCGGTCCAGCAGGGAAAGGTGAGAAGAAGGGTTTGGAGTGGGTGGCATGAGGGGAACACCAGGAGTGGGAGTGAGCGATAGAGAGGAAGAGGAAGGGGTACCAGAACGAGGGTGGTGCGGATGGCTGTTGGGGCGGTCAAAGCTGTGGTTGGGTGCTGGGGGAGGCAGGGTGATGGGGATATGCTCCGGCTCCTCCTTCCGCTCCTCTTTGACTTTGACTGGAGGGAGAAGCAACGGAGGTTTGGAGACGGGTGTTGTGGTCCGGTCAGACTTCTTGGCCTGAGACAAAGAAGTGACTGAGGCAGAAGCTGCGGAGGAAGAAGGGAGGTTACCGTCTCTTTGGGAGTGTGAGGGTTCGTTGTGGAGGCTATGTGCTGTTGGAGCCATCGGGCGGGGGTAAAGGTCCATCGGGGACGGGGCTGAGCGGTTGGAGGGCGGGGGAGTAGTGAGCACAGAAGATGAGGAAGACCGTGGTCTGTCTCTATCTGCTACTAAAGATGAAGAGCCAAGAGGAGGCCCCCGTGAAGACACTGTTGGCAGCGGCCTCTTATCCCCGTCTCTGTCTCGCTCACGGTCTCTGTCTCTGTTCAAGCTGCGTGTCAGGTCCTCAATAGGCCCACCGCTGCCCCCCAGGGCGCTACTGTGGCCATTAATGTGGGACACTGGGGTGTTACTGCGGGGTTTGAAGGGAGGGGCAACTGGAGACATTCTCACAGGTTGTCGGCCATACAGCATGTTGTCTCTGCAAAACATAACGTGCACAACAACAGTTCGACAGTGGGAAGCGTTCACACCAATCCTCATGTGTATCACTTCAACTACATGGTTTTAGATGTAAATTATAAAAACATAAACAGTATATAACAGATGGATTTATAACAGAAGCTTTAACTGGCAGCAGTAACACCTATTTTTGTAATTAGCATTTTATTGAATGGTTCATAAGCTTTGTCACATTTTGGTCGACCAATCAATTAAATCCTATATTAAAAAGGAGAAAATAAAAAATATACAAATAAATAAAATTTAGAAAATAGATCTCATTAAAGTTTCCTTAATATCAATGCCCTACATCTATAAATGCTACTGTGGAATAGACTACCATGTTTTAGTGAATTCCATACATGACTGGTGACAGTTACTCACCGTTACCCTGAAATCACCAGGCTCCACTTAAATAATCAGTAATTTTAGTGTGTATAGAGGCAGCATGTTTTCACTTCACCTAACTGGCTGAAATGAGGGTTAATTTAAACAACATCAGATTTGGTGATGACTGGAACAGTGGAAAGATGAACCAAGACGGTTTCTGTGAGTTTTATTTTGTCTCCGTTGTCTCTGAATGAGGTGTGAATAACGATGATAAAATAACTTTATTTAAATGGAGTCTGGCGGGTTTGACGATAGTGATTTTGTGGCTGGTTGATGAAAAGAATCCTACTCTTTAACAAAAAGGTCTATCTCTGTAGGGATCATTCTGATAATCTTGTCATTTCTAAACTTATGATAATAATCTAAGCCTGTCAGTAGCAAAAACAAGTTATTTTAGTGGATGTAAACTGACGGTGTGAACATGTCACACTGCAGACTAGACACTACTGTCTGAGTCAACACTGGGCCAATATCAAAAGAGGTTGTTCACATTAGTCGCAGAGACACAAAAACAAGGGAAACACTGATTTTAAGTTCATTTGAGATGCAGAGAAACTTTTCAGCATGTAGCAAATGCTTGGTTTTCCCCCTTGGTGTAAAAGAATGTGACTTTTTGTGGGCATTCCTGTAAAGACCTACTGTAGCTATGATCTCATCTAATTTACAAGCAACAAATTAATTTTCAGACACATAAAAAATGTGTATGTGTAACCTGCAGCAATGCAAATGTATACACTGTCACACTTATATCAGTAAAGGGTTGTAGACATGACAGAATTGTTGACATTTTGTATTTTGTTTTAGTGTGGATTTGTTTTTGTGAGCTGACAGGTCCCTGTCTCACTGTCAGATTGTGATCACAGCACTGCCCAGGGTAACGTGGGTATTAACTGCAGACTAATACCACAGCATCTTAATTAAATCAAATCGATTCCAGTATTAAAATCAGCTGAACGCCATACCTGTCCTTTTCATCCTTGATGTGAGGAACGTCTCTCCTCTCCACGTCCTTCGCTCGATCCCTCTCATCCCGCTTGTCTGGCCCCTTCGCCCAGCTGGGGCCAGGAGGGAACCCAGACTGACCGCCGTGTAGACGGTTCCATGGGTCATGATGGTTGGGCGTGGACAGGCCTCCGACGACACTCGCTGGTGAATCTTTGGGGCCAAACACAGATCCTGCTGCGAACCAGAAACATATATTCTTTGTTAGGGAAATAAAAAAACAGCAGCATTTAAATTAAATATTTTACTGCTACAGCTATCGTGGAAGTAAAATCTCTGTGCTTTGTTGTTAGCATCTAATATTACCCTGGTGAGCCTAAGTATCATGTCACAGCTCTTTCAAGTTCAAAGTTCAACAGTAAAAACTCTGAAGTGACACAGATCCATTTTTAAATGTGAAACTAAACTAAACTAAATTTGCTCACATGGCTTGAACACCTTTTGTTGCAGCATGTACAAAGGAAATGTTAATCAACAAGTTGGTTGTTGCTGAATTATCAGTTTAAATTGAAATTTATTTGGCCTACGATCAATAGGTCATAACACACCACTGATGTTTGTAGGCTGTCAGTGTAGTGAGTCCCCAGGACCCACAGGTGGTGAGTGTACAGTAGTAAGTCCCCAGGACCCACAGGTGGTCAGTGTACAGTAGTGAGTCCCCAGGACCCACAGGTGGTGAGTGTACAGTAGTGAGTCCCCAGGACCCACAGGTGGTCAGTGTACAGTAGTGAGTCCCCAGGACCCACAGGTGGTCAGTGTACAGTAGTGAGTCCCCAGGACCCACAGGTGGTCAGTGTACAGTAGTGAGTCCCCAGGACCCACAGGTGGTCAGTGTACAGTAGTGAGTCCCCAGGACCCACAGGTGGTCAGTGTACAGTAGTGAGTCCCCAGGACCCACAGGTGGTCAGTGTACAGTAGTGAGTCCCCAGGACCCACAGGTGGTCAGTGTACAGTAGTGAGTCCCCAGGACCCACAGGTGGTCAGTGTACAGTAGTGAGTCCCCAGGACCCACAGGTGGTCAGTGTACAGTAGTGAGTCCCCAGGACCCACAGGTGGTCAGTGTACAGTAGTGAGTCCCCAGGACCCACAGGTGGTCAGTGTACAGTAGTGAGTCCCCAGGACCCACAGGTGGTCAGTGTACAGTAGTGAGTCCCCAGGACCCACAGGTGGTCAGTGTACAGTAGTGAGTCCCCAGGACCCACAGGTGGTCAGTGTACAGTAGTGAGTCCCCAGGACCCACAGGTGGTCAGTGTACAGTAGTGAGTCCCCAGGACCCACAGGTGGTCAGTGTACAGTAGTGAGTCCCCAGGACCCACAGGTGGTCAGTGTACAGTAGTGAGTCCCCAGGACCCACAGGTGGTCAGTGTACAGTAGTGAGTCCCCAGGACCCACAGGTGGTCAGTGTACAGTAGTGAGTCCCCAGGACCCACAGGTGGTCAGTGTACAGTAGTGAGTCCCCAGGACCCACAGGTGGTCAGTGTACAGTAGTGAGTCCCCAGGACCCACAGGTGGTCAGTGTACAGTAGTGAGTCCCCAGGACCCACAGGTGGTCAGTGTACAGTAGTGAGTCCCCAGGACCCACAGGTGGTCAGTGTACAGTAGTGAGTCCCCAGGACCCACAGGTGGTCAGTGTACAGTAGTGAGTCCCCAGGACCCACAGGTGGTCAGTGTACAGTAGTGAGTCCCCAGGACCCACAGGTGGTCAGTGTACAGTAGTGAGTCCCCAGGACCCACAGGTGGTCAGTGTACAGTAGTGAGTCCCCAGGACCCACAGGTGGTCAGTGTACAGTAGTGAGTCCCCAGGACCCACAGGTGGTCAGTGTACAGTAGTGAGTCCCCAGGACCCACAGGTGGTCAGTGTACAGTAGTGAGTCCCCAGGACCCACAGGTGGTCAGTGTACAGTAGTGAGTCCCCAGGACCCACAGGTGGTCAGTGTACAGTAGTGAGTCCCCAGGACCCACAGGTGGTCAGTGTACAGTAGTGAGTCCCCAGGACCCACAGGTGGTCAGTGTACAGTAGTGAGTCCCCAGGACCCACAGGTGGTCAGTGTACAGTAGTGAGTCCCCAGGACCCACAGGTGGTCAGTGTACAGTAGTGAGTCCCCAGGACCCACAGGTGGTCAGTGTACAGTAGTGAGTCCCCAGGACCCACAGGTGGTCAGTGTACAGTAGTGAGTCCCCAGGACCCACAGGTGGTCAGTGTACAGTAGTGAGTCCCCAGGACCCACAGGTGGTCAGTGTACAGTAGTGAGTCCCCAGGACCCACAGGTGGTCAGTGTACAGTAGTGAGTCCCCAGGACCCACAGGTAGTCAGTGTACAGTAGTGAGTCCCCAGGACCCACAGGTAGTCAGTGTACAGTAGTGAGTCCCCAGGACCCACAGGTGGTCAGTGTACAGTAGTGAGTCCCCAGGACCCACAGGTAGTCAGTGTACAGTAGTGAGTCCCCAGGACCCACAGGTGGTCATTTGAGTGCTAACATTCAGCAGGAGTCACCTGCCCTATAGAAAGCTCATCCAAAACGAGTTTAGTGATCACTCTCATACCTCTGAACTCAGCTGCTGCCCCTTCTAGTCTCTTTTATTTTACCAAAACAGAAATCAATACATTTAAGAATAACTTCATTTATAGTCAACATTCTGTAATATATCTAATTATATATTTTTCACAATCTAAAAAGAACATTTTTAAATGAGATTTAATCCATAAATGATCAAATAAGCAAGTGTATAAATTTAATATTACTTCTCTTATTCTCTTTCTTTCTGAAGAGTTTTAATGTTTTCCTTCTTACCCATCGAGACTATGAACAAAATTAGATCTCGTCATGTGAGAGATATCTGTGCATACGTGAGAAAATGGAGGCCGCCAGTGAAAATATGTTTTGAACACTGTGGCTTGACGGTAAAGCATTATCAGGTCATCATCAACATGTTCTTTCTGTTGACAAGGTAGTATTATAAAAGAAAAAAGGGTGTGTCTCCTGGAAACATGAATAGCATGCTGCCATACTGGAGGCTAAAGAGGTGTGACGGCACGACATGTGACACAACCAGAGCGCCCTCTACTGTGAGATAAAACATACACATCCACAGCGCTTTATAAACACTAACAGCGATAAGTGTTACGCACAGTCGCTGAGGTGGCTGAGCTCATCCTCTGTCCCTTTTACACAGACGTTCATTTAGCGCTGTTTCTACCTCCGCTGCCAGCTTTAAGGCGAGACAACTCTGTCCGCGATCGTACCTTTTGTAAAGAACAGCGAACACTGCAAAATTCCTGTCTTGAACAGGAAGCATAGAGGCAACTAATGACAGCTGAGGTGTGAGTGATGACAAACAATATTCTTGGCCAAAGTAAAGACAAGTTCAGAGTATTTAATCTCAAATCTTTCTGCTAAGCAGCTTGTGTTAGAGTAACAAAGACTGTCAGGTAGCTAAAGTTACTACACTGAGTGCACAGGCACATTTTTAGTCTTGTTTACGTACTAAATCAGATAATTCCTGATTTCCCAAAATAATTTTGTAAATTTTACACTGCATATATTTAGGATAAGTTCCTGTATGGCTGCTTGCACAGAAGATGCTGTAATCCAGATGCATCTGAACATGTTTTGGGAGAAAAACATGAAGGAATGTCGCCAGCAAAAATGTACTGTTTTGATTATTGGTTCAAAAACCTCAAGAATATATATGAGCAGCAGGATTTAAAAAAAAAAAAATTAAAAAAAAATCAAACAATACCCAGACGTAGATCAAAGCTGCGCTGGTAGTAGTAAAGGAAGAAAGGAAACATGCTCCTCACAAAATATCCACTGAAGTTGTTCAGAGTTAGTGAGAGAATTCTGAGAAGGCCGATATGTCAAGACTTATTTTGTGAGGATTCTGTTGAAGGCTACTCAAGTCCTACAGTTACACCATGCACGACTGCCCCATCCCAATAAACACTCACAACACAATATGTGTTTGATTCTCGCTTCTTCTTGCTCACTGTGAATTGTCCATTCATATTAGCACAAGAGGAAGATAACTAGCAGCCGCCTCCCCCAGTTCCTGTTTTCATTACTGCTAACAGTTAGCTGTACAACCCAAACCACAGGAGCTGTAGAATGTACATGTACAGTTGATTAACTCCTTCCTTTAACAGCACTTACAATTAGCTGCTAAATCAACAATAATCTGTAGTAATAAATGATTTCATTACAAAATTTAAATTGCAGATGTTTACGTCTGTCCTTTATGGTATTAATGTATGAGCTTTTTTTGCAAATCGTTATTTTGATCCTAAGAATTCTGCAACAAAGATGTGTCTATGGAGTACCAAACACCCCCCAACAAATTAGCTAGCCAGAGTTACAGCTGTGGGCTCATGCCGACCTGCATGTAAACCACAGCCATGCTGTAAAAATGCATCACTTATTCTGTTTTGAACAGACTTAAGTGGCGAAGCAGCAAAGGTGCGACTTGACAAGCCGCAACAAGTGCATCATTATGTCTCATCAGCAGAATAAGGAGAGCCTCTCCGATCACAGTATATGTGCCAGGTTGTGTGTTTTATGATATTCACCCACTCAGACAACTGTGTTACCGATTTATGAATTTAAATAACACTAAATATTGCACTACGTGGGTGAGAGAGGACTAATTGTTTTCTGCCCACACACGTTCTTTTCTTTGACTTAATCGAAGGCAACCACTGAACTTTTCATTAATTCAGAATATTACTGTGACGGGTTGTAATCACAAACCTTGACTACCCTTTAACACGTGTTTATACTGTAACTGCCAGTAACGACGGAGCTGTGTCAGTGCAGTGACACTGAAAGGATAGGTTTAATACAAAGTTCATTATGCCAAATGTATGTTGATTCATTGCTTACAGTAGTTATTGCTCCTGTCCACACTGGCTGTGACGTGATCCCTGTTAATGCCACTGTACTGTAAATCTCTGCAGATGCAAATATGAGGCGTCAACAGTCGGAGTTTTCCCAACAGAGCACCTACAGGAGTAGCAGTACAAATTCCATCTGTGTGCTTCCCCACGAAGCATTTCCTCTGTGAGTCGTGGCGGGAAGGTACTTTCTCGTGGCTGGATCCACATTTGTTGCCAGTATACAACAAAAAGAGGACTTGATTTGATTCTCTTTACTGCTAAAGCCCCATATCAGCATCAGCTAAACTTTAGAACGCATTTTTGAACCGAGGGATTATGGATTGTGACGGCCAATAAAGCTGTCTTCAACACAGTATGTCATTTTTGTCAATAAGATTCTCTCGATCAAAACAATAACTTAAGACAGACTTTGAAGACATTGTGAAGCAGTGTGAAGGAGACATAACTGTTTAACACCTCTTTTGCCAATGACAATCTGTCTGACCTGTCTCAGGTAGAAATTATGTTCACGGACGAGTTAATGTATTAAAGTTAAGTTTCATTCATGTTGTGTTTATTCACAGTTACTGCTCACATTAGGTAAGGAATTCAATCACTGAGCAGCCCAGCGCTGTTATCAGGGGTCAAAACAACTTCAAACAATGATCAGTGAGCTTATAAAGTTATTCTAACAGCACAAATTTACCATACGCATCAGCTGACATGTCATAGTAGCACATCATAGTGTGACATAAAAATGCTGTTTTACCTGTAATGAGTATGATGCTGTGACATTGTTTAAGGCCTACCTCACTACAACATACCATCTGGTCTTTAATGTGTTTCCCCAGAACTTAGAGCAAGTAGAGGGGGTAAAGGAGATGTGACGCCATTGACAGGCGACCAAATGAAACGCTCAATTACCTTGAATAAAATTGCGGATTTCTCTGGGTTTGAGTACGACAAGAAATATTTGGAATACTGTTTGGTCAAGTTGTTGACATATTAATGTTACATAACAATATCTTTGAGACCTGTGTGAAAGAACACAGCCTCCTCCTTAATTTGCATCAAGCCAGTGCGATAACTCAGCAGGGACGCTAACGCAGGGGTGTCATCTAACAACTACTGGTTCTATAGATGCAACATAATGAGACATCATTTGGTGAGGTGCTGCAGAGGCCAACAGAACACTGGACAAAAACGTGGGCACCGTATTTCAACAGCTTACCTCTTGATTGAAAGATAAAACGTGATGTCATGCGGCCGCTTGTAAAATTCAGTCTGCTAGTATTTTAAATCACTGCGCATGTTTTGGCATCTGATAAGCCTTCAAACTCACAGATCTGTTGCACAAAGCAAACTTGGTGAATCACATTTCATTGTTTGACAGGCACCTGAAGCTGCACACCAGCACCAGTGCAGCCTCATGTTTATGGCCTCAATGCCCACTTACTCTTTCAGCATACACGACGTGTGATGACTGTATTAAGACAGACGTTTGAACATTTCTGAAACTAACCCGCAAGTCTTGCGTTTTAAGAATAGATATACAGTAATACTGACCCAGCGTTGGGCTTCCAAGTCCTCCAAAGGCACCAGAACCAAGAGCTCCCAGTGGGGTGAAGGGTGGGGATCGGCCATACGGATCTAAAACACAAGTTAACGTTAAAAATACTGCGTCACAACTGTAGCTACACTTAACATAATGGAAACTCAACAAACAACCTTGTTTCATTTATTTATGAATGGTCAAAGTAAAATCTGGAGTGAATCAAAGTGCCAGACACTGGCTGTAGTGCACAATATGGTTACAGAAGCTGCTCTTACCCAAGTGTGCAGTCGGTGTGAGGAAAGAGGAGTGGGGCGCTGATGGGGAGATGAAAGGAGCTGAGGACGGATTGACTGCCCCTGAGGGAAACAAGTAGTAGTAAAATAAAGAAAATGTCACGACTTATCAACTCAAGCTACTCACACATGTAATGCTGTGACTCAACATGGCAATACTGTCAAACCTCAGGGATGTGAGGACAGGGCCAATCAAAACGCAATGACGCGTGGTGAGAGAAGGAATTGATGAGTTCTTTAAGAAATTACATAAAATCTTGTGTGCAGGTGTAAAATACTAAAATACAACACTAAGGGGAAAATATCCTACAAAGTCTAAATATGAATATCATCTCTCAGTAATGCAGAACATTACACTACAACAATAAATTCACATTCTGTCAGCTGTTCTTAACGCTGGGGTAGGCAGGGTTTGTTTTGGCATCATTGGGCAAAAATCCCATAGTAAACTTTGAGCATATTGTAATTCAAGCGGTCTGAGAGAACACTAGACTTCTGCACCTCCTCTTGGATCTGTTCTCAGGCTTTGGAAAATGTAGCCCGTGACAGGAGACTCTGGCGGATCACAGATCATTTCACAGAGAGGGCGTTCCTTTTGGCTGTTCTACAAATCCCTTCAGATGGTGAGAGCCTGATTCAATGGCCAAAACTCCTGCAAACAAATTTGCTAACCCACCATTGGAAACAAACTGCCTACACTGCACAGCAAACCAAAAAAAGAGAGATTGAATTATCAACGAGAGAGTCTAAAAGAGAGACGGACAATAAACCAAATAAAATAAAATAAACCAAATACCTGAGTCAATATTGGAGAGGCATTTCAGAGATGAAGAGAAAACGCTGCTAATAGTTTAGACTTGTGCCACCTGGAGCCAAAGGCTCATGGCTGCAGCTGATTCATGTTCACGTGCGTGTAGCTGGCTGGAGCCTCCAATCACGGTGTGTCCTCTCAAAGGGCTTCACAAGTTTGCACAGAAAACAGGATGATAACTCTCATAGCATTGCTGCTATATAATGGCATCGGGATGATTATTATGAACGACTACTACTGGCACAGGTGACTGTATGAAGTGTGTGCATATGCCCATGCCCATGCCCATGCTTGCCTGGTGGGAGGGGCTTATGACAAAGAGAAGAGCTGCACAAGGGGGTGTATTTGCAAATTCTGCTGTTTTTCTGCCTTCCCAGAAAACTGCCTACCCCAGATTTAAGAGACGAAAGTATTTAGACACGCACCTGCAGCTGAGAACAGACTGGGAGGTCTGGTCAGATCATGAGTGGGAGGCAGGGCTCCTCCCATGGGCCCCAGAGGGCCTAGTCCCCCAGCTCCAGGAAGACGGGCCAGCAGGTCACTACGGAAGTCCAGCTTGTGAGGTTCAGCCTGCATCAGCTGACAGAGGTGGGTAAAAGAGTTAATCAGACGTTCACAGTGGTGACAACACTTTTTATTTCTCTGTTTACAAGTGAATATCTCACAGGGACACAACTACTTTATCTTTTATGAACAACGTTTACAATCTAAGAAAGTACAACTTGTGATTTCACTAAGAAGCACTTACCTTTACTTTTTTCTGATGACTCAGAATCATCCAGGCCACATATACATGCATAGCACACCACTTTCCTGGTTTCTGCACAGCACAAAAATCACAGGGGTTTACCGTGTTATTCCATTAATCTTGCATGTGCACCTTTAAAGCCTTTACACACAAAGTCAGATGTTCTTCCTGTGGTTTAGAAATATCTCGTCTAGCCACTACAGAAGGTTGATGTTTTCCATCTGGAGATAAAGTTGCCTGCTAGAGCTCAGTCTAAGTTTGGGAATATGGAAATGCATAAGCAAGGACACAAGAAAATCACGGGGGGAAAGAACAACCACATACATTGTCCAGGTGGTAATTTCTGGCTTCTGAAATATCTAACTGGGTGTGCAAGGGCAGAGCATAGACCAGTAGCAGTCAAGATTACAAGTGAGATTAGTGCAAAGAGTGAGTGAAGCAGTGAGAAAGTAAAACAGGCTGAAGATTTTAAGGAGCCAAAGGGATTCAAAAACATCTATTTTTGCTTACATTACTGACTTTCAACGATGTCCCAAATGGATCAGTTAGCTACAAGAAAACACAAGTGTAAAAACCACTTTTAATCCACATATCTCACTCTTCATCACTGGCCCCATGTTGCAGCACATCCTCACTTACACTTTGGTTGTCCTACTACACAGTTTTATGCAAACAGAAAAGAAGGACATCTCTAACTTCAGGTTCTGAATGAGCACGTTGTCCTTACCCTGGGGTCTTTGGGCTGCAGGTGGTGAGGCACAACCCCAAGTCGTGCGGTTATATCAGGACCCGTTCCCTGAGGGACAAGAGGCTGTCACACACACAGCACAACACAACACATGAGCCATAACCTACTGACCTGCAGGTCTGAGTAACAACTGACATTCTTCTCTCTTTCAGTTTCTGAAATCACTTTTTGAAAACTAAGTAAGGATATGAGTTTACAAAGGTGGAGTCATTATGAAGCCTCTGTGCTTCTGATGCTAGTGGTGCACCATATATACACCATATGATGCAGTGTGGGCATAGACAACGGTTACATCGCAGGAAGTGAGATGTCACGGCAAATTAACTCAAACACGTCATGCTACAACTTTCTTGCTGCTTGATACAGAAGGAAAACTTGTACAGTTCCCAATTTCCATGACTAGTGATACTGGTCATGCCTTTCCCTTTAAGACAGGTTACATGTGTATGAGATGAATTGTGGTGGTGTTTGCTGTGGGAAGTGAGACTCTCCTGTGTGTGTGTGTGTGTGTGTGTGTGTGTGTGTGTGTTACCAGGCCAGTAAGTGCTGCAGACCCACTGAAGTGTAAACTTGAGAGAGTCCGCAGGCTGTACACACAGTGACAGGGCTAACTTTTAGCATAACACTGCTAATATTATCTCACGGTTTTTAACAGATTTAAAGAGTTTTTTGGGACTGTTTAACGCCTCAGTGGTGCGTGTGTCAACTGCTGCTGCTGCTGCGTGAGCTCGTGCTAACCAGGCAGACGTTGACCGGGAGGAGACCAGCTCCATGTCTGAAGACATGATCAAACCCCAGGGGCAAAAATGATCCAATGTAAGACTCATTTGACTGGAGACATTTCAGTACTACTTGGTACTGGGTCACTCCATTGACAGTACCAATACCAGCCCTCGACAGCAGCTCAGTTTCCAGTTTAACAACTAGAAACAGGACCAGATTTTCTGTTCACTGTACAAAAGAAATAAAGCATCTGTTTAATGCAACGCTATCACAACGTCCCCGGACCATTCGTCACTGCTGAATTGCCGTACTGTAAAAGCTATGAGCCAGGGTAAAGCTAACTGAGTTAGCCTAAAGAAACCAACGGTCTGCCAACTACAGTTTGTAGCCACAAGGCTGGAAAGGTAACTCTAACGTTAATCTACAAGAGAAGTCTGTTGAACTCAACCTGAAAATGAGTGAGCGTGTCATTTTTTTCCCAATACTGTGCAGCCACAGTCAATGCTATATTACCCTCAAATGCTTGTGATATTATCTGGAAAGCCCTTCTTGTTATCAAACACTTCACATTTTTATCAGTGTTCTTCCTGTGTGGGTGACCAAATGGACAGTCACTGTGACCAACATGGAGACAATAATCACACCAGGTAATGTGAGATTTACCCTGACAATGTGACGTCTAGTGGGCTACTTAGGAATAAGTAAAACAAAGATGTAGAGAGAGTTTTTCCACACCTTTGGCTGAAATGCTCCTTGCAAGGAGCTGAAAGGCCCAGTGGGAGGAATCACAGGCTGGATACTCGGCACTGAAGGCGGCGGGTATTGTGGGAAGAACTACCATGACACACATAAACATGTATACAAGTTAAATCAATGCAGTTTTGAAGACTTTAAATCTATTTCTTTTAAAATGTTTTATATAGTATTCTGTAAATTATCACCACCAACATAATGAGACAGAAAACAGACAGTACTCACAGGGTGTCGGTACAGCCCGTCCACTTTGCCTGTATACTTATCAAACTGAAAGACAAAAAGCATCGTATGGGTTAAAACTTGTCAAACACATGAATACGGTCCACATTCCAGCCACACTAGAATTTGCAGTATGACACAGATGTTCAGCATAGCAACAGAGAGCATCTCACCAGAGGCGGTGCGGTAGCTGTGGGGTGCAGGAAGGGTGTGAAGTGGTGCGTGTGCGTGTGTTGGTGCTGGTGGTTGTGCTGATGGAACTGGAAGGCCATGTGCGGGATGCTCGGCTGGTTCTGAGACGTCCGGCCTGATGAGCCCGGTCCGGAGCTCGTTGCTGATGGACCACCAGGAGTGGCGCGGCCTGCAGCTGCTGCATTGTTTTCAGCCCCTGGGACGCTGCGTCTGCCCTCGCGTTCTTGTGAATTCAAGAAGTGGGGGTTCAAGTTCTGACGCAGTAATTCTTGGTCTACAGTGGAGGGAAATAAAAGAAAATAAATTAATGAAAGTAAAACAAATCACAACTCCACAGAGTAACTGTTGAATTTAAAGCCACTGGAAACTCAAAGCCACAACAGCCTTCTGGGTCTTATAGACATAAAAGTAAGCATCTACAAAGTGTGCTGTCATTGAAGTTTTTGTAAATTTAGTGGGTTTGTACTGGCCATGGTTAAGCTCAGACTTACTACAAAAAAAAAATAATACAATTCTGCAAACCAATCATAAAACAGGTGCAACAAAACCTCTGTGCTCCCGCTCAGTCGGCCTCTTTGAGTCTGAGCCAGAGTCCTGCACAGGTCCAGTTTTCAAGATCCGCCCCGCCCCGACCCGGCGACGTACTAATCCGCACCCGAACCGCAAACCCGTGCATCAGGCCAATTAGTACCGCAACCCGGTCCGACCCGTTGAAACCCGACCCGTAACCCGGATTTAAAGTAATCATTTTGGGTCATATTGGCTGAATATTGAACAGCATATCGCCACAGTTAAGGTGCCAGTAAGTAAACAACGACCTGAATGAAGCAGCTCTCACCATAAAAACCTGACTTCAGCTCCATCATCAACCCTCTGTGTTCTTCTCCCATACGAGTGTAAAAGCACTCGTTTGTTACGTTTAATGCTTTTAAACTTTTAATCTATGTAAAGGAACTTTACACGTGTAATAATAGACTTACTTTCTGTCCAGAGTGACGTGCAGCAGTTACGAGCCATCACGTGTTTTTAGAATCCATCAAGGAGAGAAGTAATCCATCAGGGAAACACTTCAGAAACATTATTAAGTGATAGTTGTACGTTTTATCCACTTATTTCTCAAAAACCTAAATAATTATTTACTGTTTTGGAAGCGGCGCTTGTTAGACGGTGGCAGCCATGTTGATTCTGTCGTCCAATAACAAACTGTGTTATTAGATGGTGAAACGCGTGTAAACAGCTGAACCAATGACCACTGCGAAATAACGGAGGCGATCCTCAGAGAGTAAATAATGACCAAGATAGTTATCTGTAGTTTACCGAACTAATGACTGATGTGTTTTTTTAAAAACCACCTGCAAATCAGCTGTTCTTGCGGGTACCCGTCGGGGACCCAGTGCAGGACTCTGGTCTGAGCCGGCTCATCTCTATGTAACATCTTGCCATGAGACAGCTCACTTTATCTCACCTATGTCTGACTTCTCCCTTTTTTTGGTCGTGTGAAGATGACAAAGTGTCAGTCTTTTATTTTCCAACTTGGAGAAACAGTGGAGTGTGTTTTCTGTGAGTCGCTGTAGAGTTGTCCACAAAAACGGCAGCACATACAGCTCTCATTTCCCCCAATACTGGTTCAGTAATTTTGCCAAGAAAGCTATGGGTTTTACAAAACAGCTCTGTCCTGCAGCTCTAGCTGGAGCTTCTCTCCACCACTTCAGCCTTTCCCTCTCCAGACATCACGTCCCTGATATGCCAAACATATGGACTGATCATGTACTTTGCTAACCGTAGGTAAAGATGAGTAATATTAGCTGACTTACAGGCTTGTCATTAGACTGCATTTGAGCTTATTTGACTTTTGGATGTTGCTAACATTTAGCCTCTGAGATCTGTAACTAATGTTTGCGCCACAGTCTTGTGATATTGTCTCAACAGCAACATGAGCTGTGTTTTAACAGTTATGAATGTTTATTTTCATTCACATTTTTGGTGGATGTTAAATGACACACTCTGTTTTGATACCACACCCTCGGGCTGAGGCGATATGCTTGTCTCCTAATATGATACTATCATGATATTTGGGCGCCAAGTATTGTGATTCGATAGTACCATTTATTTTGATTTTATTTACTTTTTATACTAAACCATGGGAAGAAGTTAATTCATAACCTTCTAGAGACCCTTTCTAAAAACAATACACTCAACGTGTCAGTCAGTCCGTCTGGCTTTTATTTCAGCAGCATCAAATACTGCAAACAAAGTGGTAAATGAACCATTAACTGTTTTAATGGCCTTATTTTTAACAATCTTATTTCAGTTTAGCACTTTGTGACCTTGCTCTGTGAAAGGTGTTATAAAATAAACTGCACTTACTTCCTAAGATGTGTTTTACATGAACAATAGAATGAATAAAAGTATTCTTTTCAAGTGAACTGCCACATCTGGCAGCACCAGCTTATCAAGCTACTGTTTCCCAAACAATGATTTATTTTTGTGGCTGCCCAAATATCAACACTGGCCTTTAGTTACTTTTCCCTTTTTCTTTTCTTTTTCACGATGTGTAAAATATTATTCCATTATAGAGCTTTTAGAGCCAGTGCATTGATTCACTCAGCCCCTCACCCCGCTCTTTCACTCTTCATCAGGCCTCAAGTGAGACAAGAATAAGCTAGCTAGCATCCTGCAGTGCCTCCGCCGCTCCCCACAGGTAGGAGACTAGAAGCTCTGGAGACTCACTCAGGAGCAGCTGTAGCAACTCAAATTCAGCCGGTGCAAACCCAAGCGTCAGAACTAACAGCGGGCAGCGACAGAAAGTTTACTGATTTGGCAGTTTGTGCTGGTGTGGCTGAATTTGAGTTGGTATTCAGGCAGCTGCAGGTCCATCCTTGGACTGTCGAGTCTGATTTCCCCTTTCAGCTTTGTTTTTCTTACAACGGATATGACGTTAACTTACTCATACACTATCGCAATAAAAGTGGCAACTCATTTCCACCCACACACACTTGAACTATATCAATTCATTACATTACTTAAGCATTTTTACTACTTGCCAAGGCACATTTTCAGTTTAAGTATAAAGAAGGGCCAAATGTTGCTGCATTATAGTGTCTGTGTTACACTTGCTAGAGTTCATTTTAACAGACACAAGAATAACACATTTGCCATGTTTAAAGTGCTTCTTAACAAGTCTCCAAATACAATACAGTGCAACATGTTGCCTCTGTTTAACAGAAGGAATGCATTTCTGACATGATCACACTTCAGTGTATCGATACACAACTTCCTCAACACCCCAGACGAACCCAGATGACCGCCAGAGGAAGTCTGGTTTTTGTTTATTTTAGTAACATACTAGTCACTGTGTTCTCATGAGCAGCTACAACTGACCAACAGACTGTAACAGCCGTGAGAAGGAGCGTTCCTGTTGACTGTACCTGCTGCTGATGAGTGGCCAGGACCTTGTACCAGAGGTGGAGGGGGAGGCAGGCCAGGTGAGGATGTGAACAAGGCCCCAGAGCTGGCTCGGGATGGGGGTCGGAGGGGCCCTGAGGATCCTAAGCCCCTGTTGTAGGGCAGCGACACACTGGTGGAGGGAGTCGGGGGGCGCATGGAGGGTGAGGAAGATGCGACAGATGAAGCAGATGAGGGAGGTTTGACAGGGGTGTTGCTCCTGAGAAGAAAGAAAGTAGAAATAAGGAATCATGAATCACAGAATTAGTTTTTTGTGTCACAGTTAGCATCTTTTTTGTTTTACTTTAATCTTTATATTCATTTATAGTTGTTGTTTTTTTTTTTTACTTTTCTGCTGTATACCTGTTGATGTTGTAGATGGAGTGAGATCGTCCAGGCAAAGTAAAGGGTTTGGGTTTGGAGAGTGGCGGGCTGCCGTTGTGGCGGCTGCCATTTCCGTTGAACGGGCTGGACCGGGGGACCGTGCCGGGGGCTGCGACCGGGGAAGGCAGGCGAGAGAAGGGGGCAGAAGAGGTAGAAGAAGAAACAGGCTCTGGAAAATTCTGCTCCAGGCTTTTCTCCTGACTTCGTTCCAGGCCAGATACTCTCGGGGTCACCATCAACCATGAGGCGCCACCACAACGGGCCGGGAGAGGTGGGCAGATTTTGCCCACAGATGTGCCCATGTTTGAGGGGGTGGGCTCCACAACTAAAGACGAGAACATCAGTCAGCATTTTGCCTGTTTTGAACGTTACAGTGTGGAGTGACAGAAGCAAGGTGAGAGATCCAACATGTGCAGAGATGGACCAACAATGTGAAACTGGATCAGAAATCTTCACAAGTCCAAATTTAGGATCTAAATACATGTTCAAAAGATGAGCCCAAACCTAAGCTCCAAGAGCACTGAGAGCTGGTCTGAAACAGACCCAAGGAAAGTCGGTAAATTGGAATATTATGATTTTTGACTAAACCCACACTAAGGAATACCAAAACTCAAGCCTAGCCTGAACTCTGCCTGGTCTTGGCAATGCGCATTAGTGTGACATCCGTGTGACTGTGGCCATCTTGCTGTCTGCCACTGTCTCACTAATGTGCAGCTAATAATTTATTATTTATTATGGAGGAGAAAACAGAAAGCAAAACCTAATGGAGCTGCACAGGTAACACAGAAGGAGAAACTGTACCTTACGACTCATGGACGGACAGTGTGTTATTAGCAGTGGTATTAACGAGTAAGGACCAAACCAGCATCTGAACGGGCCTGAGTTTAGAAGCTGCCACAGGTTTGTTTGGTGACTTGTTCAACAAGCTGAGGTGACGGAAAAGACGTGTTCATGTCTGTAAGTTAGATAAAAAGCTAATGTGGGTTACTGTTTAAAGTTTGTGGCTGTTGTGTCTCAGGCTGCTGATTTATAGAAATGGACAAGACTTCGACTTTACTTGTGCTCTGGACTAGACATAACACTTATGCCCAGTCTTAGCGAGAAGAAGGCTGGATGGTGCAGCCTGCATTAACTACTAGGTCAGACTTAGAACAGTTAGTTATGAACAACTTAGCCTAAGACCAGGCACAGCCCTGTTGGTGCAAGCAGCCCCTGATCTTTCAAGCCACAGTGTAGTCTGCGCCTCCTGATCATTTAATGTGTGTGTGCATTATTCAGTGCCAGTGTTCCACTGAATCAAGATGTAATGATACAAGAATTGAAAACAATCTGGCTCCTTTGGTATTTTTCTGTTTCCATCTAACTGTAGGCTTGTGAGGCACCACTGACGAAATCAGTTCACTGTTTCATAAATACATGTGAATTTCTCGTACCTTTCCTCGTACTGACTGTGAAGACCGGGTCCATGTCGTTGTCGGAGGCCTGGATGGACACGCAAAACAAAGATTTCATTTCATTAATACTCGACAAACGTCAACACATCAATCAGCTGTTCCTAATAATGTATTAACATTGCATCAACAGACCCAACAAATAAGTAGCTTTACAAATGATCTTGTTGTGTCACACCTTCATGACCAACGATTAACATCAGTAAGAGGTAAGCAGTACACACCTTGTCTCCTGTATCACTCTCAGTGTCACACTGAAAGAAGACAGAAAAAGAAACGTTGAGATTTGCATCTATTAGAATATTTCAGTTTTAGATCAGAGATGCTGCTCAGTGTTGTGAGGCAGTGACACATCAGTGACACATCAGTGACACATCAGCGCATCACGTGCACCATGAGATAAGAAACCAAACTTACAATGTAGCCAGTTTCCAAAGGGTGTCCCTAGAAAAAGAGAATATTCAGTATTAAAATGGGTTTTAAATAAATGTTTATCAATTACAGTGATTCTACTTAAAGAAGGTAAAATATTTCTAGATTCCTGGTTGTAAGGAATCACCCTGCGCAGCGTCACAGACAAACCCCCTTGAATGATAGGAGTTGTAAACCAGTTTTACTGGTGGCTCATTTTCATGGCAGGATACACAGCTCAACAGCACGACAGAAGTGTAAACATTACTATTTGTTTAGGAATTAGCTCAACATCCTACACGACAAGATGAAGGTGGATGCGACCAAAACAGTCAAGCCCTTCACCTCTATCTTTCTCCTCTTATTTCTGCTCTTGTTCCAACAGCTGCTGGAGTAACTGTGCGGGGCTCCCTCCTCGGGCTCTGACAGCGGCCCTCCACCGTTCTCCTCCGGCCCTCTCTTCCCCTTGTTCCTCCGGCCCAGCATATCAGAGCGCTGACTGGGCTTCAGAGAACAGTCCATCTGATAAAGACAAAAAAAAATAGTCAGTGTTTACATGTCTAGCAGAAAGCTAGACATGTGTATGCCTGAGGGCAAAGACCACAGGCCAGCTACATGCCAATTAATGTCCTGACAGACCTAATTTCTGTGTAGTTTCTACTCTGAGTGATCGCAAAAATAGAAACACCAGAATGATGTAATGCAACACAGCGGCCTGTGTGAGACTTGAGCTGCTTGTGTGTAGACTCAATTCTATGGTGTGTTTTGAGAAGGTGTTAAGTGGTTGTGGTACATTTGTTTTTAAAATAAGATCCTAATATTCTGTCCAGCCCATTTACAGATATAGAAGAACAGAAATAATAGAAACACCTTACAACCTCGAAAGAAAAGCAACACCTCTCTGACACAATAAAAGGACAGAACACGAGCCCCACATATCGACCTCAGGGGGTCAGAGGATAAATCTGAAGCGCTGTGAGATGATCAACATTTTGGTAAAAAGAAAGAAAAGGCACATCAGCTAAATAAAAGATTATTTCTTCTGTTTTATTCTTTTCTGGTGAAATACTGGAACGTATGGTCTCCTCCCAAAAAATATTCAAATGTAACAGAGTAATTAAAAAGGTACAACCAGTCTGTGATGAGAGGTCAGCAATGGCCTTTGCTTGGCTACAAAGAGTCAGAAAGCTGCGACAGGTTGGGAACCTGTGACTTGCATTAAAAAAGACAGTTTAAGTACAGAGAGTTTCTTTAACGCACAAGAGAGCTGTGGAGAAAAACGATGAAGTAACCATCATGGAAAAGGGTTTGTTTGTCATGAGAGAGATGTATAGGTGATAATATATATGTCCAATGCATAAAACAAGTGCAATCCACTGGAATAACGTGGAGAATACAAGGTGATGTTGCTGCGTGTATTCAACTACGACTCTGGAAGGTTTTAAATCCAGATGGAAGTCAGATTAACTAAAAATAACTGAATTTAATAATGTCTCATATTGTCATTATTCTGTTTGGTTGGATTCTTTAAGGTTATTAAGATTATGCTGTTTATTAAAGAAAAATACAGTAGCTGTAATAGATACCTTCATCTGGAATTTAATAAATATTAATAAACTGAAGAGGAGGCAACTCAACATGAAGCTCACCTCAGCTTTTCTTTTCAATTGGTGACAATTATTCTTATTTACTTCTTTTCTATCCAATTATCTTCTAGAGAATAACTGCAAGCAGTTACTGCTGTTAATAAACTCAGGCAGGAAGTTAGAAATTCAGAAAAGGAAATTGCCACATTCCACCCAAAAACACTTTTTTTGCTGGTATATTTAATTATTTTCTATTAGCAGTTTCAGATAGTAACTGACCGACAATCTTGGCATTCACTGGTTGATTTGACTGTAAAATAAAGTCACCCAGGAGAATAGTGGAACCGTCTGTCTGTGAGTGTATGAAGAGGCACTTCTGCAACATAACCTACTGACAAATAATTTGGTTTCCTGTCCTGATGCGGTAAATGCCGTCAGACCCACCCTGGAGGCTGATTAACTAATGTTAGATATTCTCTTCATCAGAATGTCAATTGGGTCACATTACAACACAATTTAATTATCTACACATATCTGGTGTTACAGCTTTTACTGCATGGTGGAAACTTCACACTGACCAATGCTCTGTCTGTCTGCCTGCCTGCCTGCCTGTCTGCCTGCCTGCCTGCCTGCCTGCCTGCCTGCCTGTCTGTCTGTCTGCCTGTCTGCCTGCCTGCCTGCCTGCCTGTCTGTCCTGAGTACATTAGGAATGAAAAGTATTGTGCTCCAAGTATGTTAACAACACAATCTGTGGTGTTACACCCATTTAAAATGTTTTCTTGTGGATTAGTTCTTTCTCAGTCTGAAAGCTATTTGGCAGCTCATCAACACCTCACTGAATTAGAACATGAATAATTGAGGCCTCTCCAGAACCCATCAGCGGGACGCCTTGGGCTTTGGGGTTGGCCTGAGCCAATTGCTTTCTCCACACAGGAAATAGAGTCGAGAGTTGAGGAGTTCAATCTGAAGCTTTTTCCCACCTTTAGCTGGAGGGGAAAAATGCATGATTTGACAAGATGAAGAGGAGTAAAGAGGACAAAGATTAAAGTAGTCAAGCATAAATGTCAATCAATTACAAGGCACATCTTGGACCAGTGCACATATTCTCTTTACTGTCACTGTCTGCTTATCCTGCCACAACTGTACAGCAGTTTGTTTTAGTATGTCATGGTATCTTTGACATGTTTCTATTGTAATTTTCTGTTCTGTGCTAATGTACTGGACTTCTGCAGTAGCTTGCCTTTATTTTTATTTCAATATGATTATTGTATGCACCAAACACCAGCCTACCTGGTGATAAACTTTGTTCTGATTACATTAATTAGCGGAAGTGATTGTGCTAACTGTCTGTCAAGCTTTATATTAAGGTGATCCATCAACGTGTTCATACTGCCGTGTACAAGTGAAGCTGTGTGGTGATTGACAGCTGATTGACAGCTGATTGACAGATGGGTGTACAGACGTGAAAGACAGATATTTACCTCCAGTGCCTCCAGGCTGACAAAGCTCGCAATAGCGAAGCCATCAATGATGTCTTCCTCGCAGGACACAGACTCTCTCTTCCTCCGACGTGGAGGCCTGTGCCTCCCAAAGCCGGGCCGGCACTCTCTCGCACCGGGCCCCAGCACACTGTTGGTGCCACAAGCCTCCCGCTCGGAGCCTGAGGACAGGGATGTGGCCCGCTCCTCGGCCAGGTCCACTCTCCTCCGCCGCCGCTCCCTGTCGCGCTGTGAACGGGACCGTCGGCTCTGCCTGAATCCAGTGCTCCGGCTCGGGCCCTCCATGTTCAGTCCTCCCTTCTGTAACTCCAGTGAGACCAAAGGCACTTTATTCAAGTCCCGGTCCGGAGGAAGGGCACCGAACCGCAAATACAACACCACCACACAGGCCCTCGCAGGGAGCCTCTGTTAAAATGGCGTTAATGGAACCAGTGGCTATTATTTACCGTCCTCTGACAACAGTCTATCGGCACCAGCGCCTTTCTTTCGCCGAAATTTTAGTGTCATTTCAATGAACCTGAACGCAAAGTTAGCTCCACATGGGGATTTAAAACATCCACGACACACACACAAATGTCAGGACACATTAGCTGATTGTGTCTCGTAGAAAGCTAGCATTAGCCACCTAGCATGAAATCCAACCGATAACCACATAAGTCATGTAAACAAAAAAAGACGAGTGTAGCTGTGTTACAGACGAACAGGCCTCCGGATCAGTGTCCGGGTGAAGATTACACCAACACTGGCGTTACTCAACGCGACTCCCGCGTGAAGGATTTTATAGATTTCTGCTCACGCTGACAAATTTATTTGCCTGTTAGCAAAAACGATACGGTTAGCTAGTCCGTTAGCAAGGCCAATAACCCAGAGATCCGGTGTTGTATCAACACACCGCTGACCGGGACATTATTTTATATTAATATGAACTGTTATTGTTGACAGCTGCTGTAAATTACTCCCAATATAAAACGAGTAAAACGAGCTGTGTGTTCGAGTTAAAATGATGTAAATGCCAATTAGCTTATGCTCATTGGGATAGCATGTACACGGCTAACTCAATGCGTTACAATATATTCAGCCAGCGACCTAAGAATAAAACTATATTCTTAAAACGTGTGTGGGGAGACCGACACGTCGGACAGTTTACTGTGAAGCTAACTAATATCCCGCAGCCGAGAGAACAAACGTTTCTCCTGCCCAAACGCTGATGGCCGTTAGTAACGGTTGAATTCGCATCAAAAGAAAGACGTAACGTTAGCACTGTGGCTAGCTAGCGTTAGCCGATCCAGCTGTTAGCCACAAACAAGAACCTTTCAGTTTTTTTAGAGGAAGCAGGAAGAATACGAGTTTTCTTTTACAATCAATCGCCCGTTAAACACTAACACGTCGCGTCTTTACACACAACTCTTCTCTCGTGCCACCTCCATCATAAAGAAAAAAATCAAGGCCCAAATATCAAAGCCTCGGTGTCGATTTCCATAAACGAGGGTGTCGGCCAAGCCCCCGTTGGGCTGGGCAGCTCCTTCATGCAGCCTTCACTGTGTAATCCAATGTTTTTAGGATTAGTTGGACCACTCGCCGACGTTTCCGGTCAAAGATGTCGTATTCTCACTAAAAAATCCAGAGTGCAGGTACACACGGAGGACAGGAGGACGGCTCCGGTGCTGCCCCCTTCACAAGTTTCCACTGAATTGGAAATTTATCGTGAAAATCAGGGAGACACAACCCTTGTCAGCCGTGCAGTGCATTGTGTGCGCTGCTCTTCTTCCTCACTCATCACACTGGCTGCTCGGGAGCTCTGCTGGTGCACACTGCCCCCATGTGGACAGAGTCTGCAAGGCTGCAGCAAAATGCTCTCAAGGTCTGCAGAAAATCAGATGTTTATTTTTTGTACTTTATTAGAAGAAAAAAATCAAGCTCATGTTTATTATTCTCACCACATAACTCTCAGCATTAAGACGAGATAAGAGATAAGATGAGACTCACACCTTACAAAAACTGGAGTCAGACAAAGAAAGGGAGGAGTGATTGTGTGCTAACAGAGGGTAAAAATATTACAAAAGATAAAATAGAAATAAAATCTATATGTGAAAGGTGTATATAGTGTAAATGGTATTGAGTGTATAGTTGTGTCTAAATTTAGTACTTTACATTTTATATTTTTCTTATTCTGATATATATCTTTTTGTATTTTATCTTTATTCTATCAGTATTCTATTGCCATTCAACTTGCTTTTCTATCTGTGCTATGAGCTGCTGTAATGTGAATTATCTTAAGTTATCTTATCTTATAGGCTACACACGATATACATCTTTAACTTACAAATACTGTATGTCGGTGATAATTTAAACACACACATATTGTATAGTATATTTACTGGACAGCTATATAAGTTATATAGCCCTCAGGCACCCTACATGTATTTTTATTTTTATTTACTTTTTTTTTTTAAGAAAATGGAAAATAAACCCCCAAGTAAAACTAAATATAAATCTAAGACATAAAAGGTGACATTTAAAATATATAGATAAATAAAATAATATGAATGTGTATACAATATTGCAAATTAAAAAACTAAATGTAAACAGGAATGTAGTAAATGTATATACAAGATAATAATAATAATAATAATAATAATGATGATATACATATGGAGAGGTGTGAACAGTTTGTAAAGCAGTAAGTAAAAGTATATAAAGGTAAAGTGACAGTATAATATAAAGCAGGAGTATCAAACTCACTTTAGTTCAGGGGCCACATACAGACCAGTTAAACCAGTGCATAATAACCTATAAATATCAACCCCTCTAAAAGTTTTCCTTTTTTTAGTGTAAAGAAATCCATTCTGAAAACATTCATTCTTTTTTTTTTTACAAAACAAATGATGAACATCCTGTGATAGCCTCAGAAAAATTAAGTGTTTTTCCACATTCAGTCAGTCGGCTACTCACTTTCATCACATGTGCTTTTATTCATGATTTTCCACTGAAGTAGAACCTGTTGAAGAAGCAGGATAAGACATCCCTGCCTTACAAACCATTTACAATCTGAAGTTTTAAATTGCTCCTGAAACCTCTCAGCCTTCTCATGTGCATCTACATTAGGTGTGCAAAGTCATCTAGCGGGCCGGATTGGATCCTTTGGCGGGCCGGTTCTGGCCCCCAGGCCGTATGTTTGACATCCCTGATATAAAGTGACAAGTGTAATGTAAAGTGACAAGGACCACATGGCCACAAACATCCAGGAGACTCCATCTCAGAAACATACAGGGCCTTACAACCCATGGCAGTTTTGTTTGCAGCTATTGTCTAGTTCAGAGATATGAGAGTGAAGAGATGGCAAATACTTTGTTGTCATCCATCTAAATACAGTGTGGTACACAGAGGAACAAAATGTTGTTCTGTTGGTCTCCTCTGGTGCAGAACAAAAGAATAAAGAAATGGACATAAGGTGTAAACAACTACATTCAAAAGTAGGTAGAGAACAAGGTCCAGACATATGGTGCAATAATAGAAAACATACAAGTTGTGCAAATACAATCACAGATAGTAAAAGGAGCTCCCAGAGGATAGTTCTGTAGTAAGGTCCAAGTAAAGTGAGGTAAGAGAAGTCTTTATTGATCCCCTGAGGACAAAATGTAGGTGTTGCAGCAGCATAAAGACAGAATAAGTTCAGAGAAATACAGAAGTGAAAAATAATAAGATACATCTGTAATAAGAACACAAGTAAAAAACATATGGAGAAAAGTTTGTGTACTTTTGATCTAGGGTGACTTTTCTCTAATTCCAATGAAGTAAAATCTGAATGGTCCAACAAACAGTTATATTTCAGACAACAGTGTCCTTCGATCTCTGTCAGAAGTTTGTGTTTGTCCTTTTCCTGTTCCAACATGACAGTATCTCCTGTGCACAGAGCCAGATCCATAAAGACTTTGTTTCCCAGTTTGGTGTGGAAGAACTTGACTGGCCTGCACTGACTGACTCCTGACCTCAACCCTGTCCAACACCTGATGAACTGATAAACCACCTGTGATCCAGACATGATCATCGAACATCAGTGTTGGACCTCACTCATGCTCTTGTTTCAGAACGGGAGCAGAGACCTGCAGCCGGGTTTCAAAAATCCCCACAATGCCATGCAGTGTAACTGTGGTGGAGAAACACTAACCTGTTTCTTAATTAATTATTTTTCTGGCTAATAACTGCACCTAAATCAGTCTTAAATATCAATGACCATTGAACATGGCCTTGGTGCACTCAGCAGTAGATGACCCTGACAGCTCATGTCGATAGTGTGAGTGTGTGTGACAGAAACAAATAGAAAACCTGACATATACGTGCAAGAGTCAATATGATCAAGTGTATTTTATTAAAAATAGAATTTGCAGCTGTTTAGACCTCATTAACTTTACTTTAATGGGCACACAGCCCAGAGTACATGGAATTTGTTTTTCATACAGAATGGAACAAACACTCAGACACATGATAATTTTAACTATTCCAATTAGGCAACAGTGCAACATTTTAATGGATAAGAACAGTCTTATTCTATACTCATCTTACTGTCAACAAATCCTGCTACAAGACTGAATGTCTTTTCTGTCTCACAATACCTCTAGATGTCCCTAAGTCACTGAAGGAAAGTCAGATAGAGACAAGCTAGGCAGGATTTTGTCTAAAACAAACAAATAAACTCTGCCCTCTGCCTATATTGTCTTATTTTCTGTGTTTGGGACATTTACAGGTGTGTACGCCACAGCACTCAGGTAAGGGCATGCACCCCCACAGCACTCAGGTAAGGGCAGGACTTTATAAAAAGATAGGGGACCAGCTGTCAGCCCAAAAGCAGCACACATCCAAGAGACACAGCACTGAAACACAGATATAGAAAGGCCAAATGTCAAACAGGAGTGAATCTGTGGTTGGATTTTACTGTTACAAACATCAACCAACAACCCTGCATAGTATACCTTTAATACGTTGTGTCACAAATATATAGTTTCATTTAAACTGTGGAGCACTGTCATTTTTATCAAACATTACTCAAACAGGAGGAAACTGTGCATTTGTTGGGGACTATTTTCAGCAGCGGATTAATTCACATTTGGTGCTCTAGTGGGTATTAGTGGCAGTAGGAACGTGTCTGCAGGATTGAGTCTAAATATTATAGTGTGTACCTTCATGGTAATGAGAATATGCTGTGGCTCTCTAGTGTGTTTTAATAGTTTTAATAGACAACAACGGAGTTCTACGGCACAGAGAAAGAGGATATATCAGCCTCTGATACACACACAGTGCTTGTTAGTAGATACATTCATTATTTGAATTTACTATCAGAAGACAAATATAGAATACTGTTGTCCTTGTCCTTTAAAGGTTCAGTGTGTAAGATTTAGGGGATTTAGTGGCATCTAGCGGTGAGGAATGCAGATTGCAACCAGCTGAAACTGCTCCTGGTTAGAGTTCCTTCAGTGTTCATTGTTCAGGAGCTTTATACCAGGAGCTGAATTATCCACAGAGGTCTCTTCCTCTCCAAAACAAATGGAACCCTGATTTAAACCAGTAAAATCACTGAATAAAGCAGTTCCACATTACAAATCAGTGTTTCTCCAACGGTGTTGGGCATGTCGGAGATGGGCTGCTAGCCTAATACTTGCTAATGTGTGCTATTTTCTCTGATAACTTGAGATCTAGATGTTTAGCAGGTTTTAACTAGGAGCTGAATTAGCAGCAGAGGTCTCTCCCCAAAACAATTGCACACCAGTAGTTTAAACTGCTTTAAACAGTGGATAAAACAGTTCCACACAAAAAAAAAATCAGCATTTTTACGAGATGTCATCACGGAGAGCTGCAAACTAAAGTGGCCAATGTGAAAACCAAATGTTTTGTCTGTTCTGGGCTACTGTAGGAACATGGTGATCTCCATAAACGAGGACCCACTAAGATTCGAAGGTAACAAAAACACAATTATTGTTATTTTCAGGTTATTAAACACTAAAGAAAACATACTTATCATATTCCATATCTGCCAATATGTCCCCCTGCATCCTACACACTGGACCTTTAAGCCGTATCTGAAGACTGCAGTAAAGTGTTCAGTTTCACATATATCAACATGTCTACTTGTCAGTTCCCTTCCTGCCTCTGTTGTAGAGTACAGACAGGTGTTTATGGAGGTCATCATGTGGTGGAGCGCCTGGACAACAGCAGGGAGTGCAGCAGAATGCCTGTAGCTACAGAGACGTTCAGAGACTCTATACCTGGGAACAACTCTCTACCAGCTGGGATGGTGAGGAGAGTTTGGCACAGAGAGAGCAGCTGCTGGGACAGTCCCTCCCCCTCACCTCCCATCAGCAACACCGTGGGTTTAGTCATGTGAAAGTCTGCACACTGGGTGACAGGAATCTGGGACTCCTGTGCTTCAGCTCCCACCGTGCCAACCACCTGCCAGCCCTGAGCCACCTTCAACTCCAGCATGTCCTCAAGGTCTTCATACCCATACACCTCGAGCACCTCCATGACGCCTGAGCTGGCCTTGCTGACCACTGGAGACAACGGACAGCTGTGGCGAAGACTGCTGACGACTCTGTCCACACCGAGGAAGTAAGCTGAGCGCAGGATGGCGCCGAGATTCATCGGGTCCTGAATTCTCTCCAAGACGAGCCAGAGAGGGGCGTCTCCTCTGCTGGGTGCAGAGTTTCTGTCCTCTGTGAGGTAGCTCAGAGGACTTGCTTGCAGACATACTCCTTGATGCACTCGCCCAGAAGACATCTTGTCCAGATCCCTCTTACTGACCCGCTGGACTTGTACTCCTTGTCGATGAGCCTCCTCACACACCTGTAACACAGACGCCCTGTGAGAGGCCTCGCCATCTTTTACAAACAGCCTCTGGGCCTTCCTTCTGCCCTGAGAGAGAGCCAAGAGACAGGGAGCGATGCCAAACAGCACCTCATAGCTCTCAGCTTTGGAGTTCAGTGTTGACCTCTGACCCTCCATCCTCTCCTTCTGCTCGGGGAAATCCTCCAGACTCAGTCTCCTGAGTTCAGATGACACTCTGCTGTCCCCCCCCCTCCTCTCACTTGGTTTCTGCAACACTGGGGTCTCATTCTTCCGCACTTTACTCAGAACTGACCTCTTATGATCTCGCTTTCCATCTGGTACAACAGGTTTGTGTTGGACACCGGAAGTATTTATCACACTGTGTCGTCTCCTCACCACAGGGTTGATGCTGCTGTCCTCTGGGTGCAGGACAAAGGCTGAGACGTGATAACAGCCCACTCGTAAAAATAATGCAGACTTGTGCAATCTTCTAGTCCCAACGAGGAGCAACTTGTGCTGATGTGCAACACTCAACACCCACATATTGAAGTGGCTGGATGTGTCCAGAGGCAGTAAGAGTTGGGACTGCCTCAGAGAAACGTGACTCAGCTAATGATGAAGAGATAATGATCCTTCAATCCAGAAATGATGAGTCCGCAGATTTTACTGAGAATCTGTCGGAAGGACTTTCCTTTGTTCAGCCATCAGCACCAACTGTCTCCCTCCATAGCTGACACGGCTGTGGCCTTTGGTTCAGTCGCACATGTGCAATCCGGCAACGTAAATAACGCGAGATTACAACCGGAAGTAGCGTGCTTTTACCTATAAAATAAAAGCCTACAAGGGTTTGGCACAAACCTTTTCCATTTAGGGGAAAAGTATGAAATAAATCTGTAACTAACCTAGCAACATATCACATCATCAAAATGAATACAGAACAAATACAAGAAATAATAATAAATACTAATAACACACTTAAAGTTATAATAAAAAGTGTTTATAAGCCAAAAATTTAAGAAGAATTAAAAACGTATAATTTAATTAATAAAATATTATATAAGGTAGACCAAATTCTAACATTTTCTATAATATAAAATAATATAATATAATATAATACTTTTCTGGGCAGTGAAGCTAAAAAAGAAAAGAATATATTCGGATTTAACTTAAGTACATGTAACTAGTTAAATGTAACTAGTTACTCCCCAACACTGATTATGTCTCATATCACTTTCTCTATACGTTAATTTACATTAACTCTTGCACCGTATGCTATGATATCATATCATATGTTAGTCTGGTAAATACTGTTTACATATTAATCACACCACTGTCATATGAACGAGTCATTTTGTCTCCAAATGCTCTTTAATAGTTTCTCATTCTACCCTAAACTTCTTATTAGTTTATGTCCGTCTTATTATTAAGTATCATACTAACTTACTTACTTATTAATAATCTGTATTTCTTTCTGTCCTTGTTCTGCTGCAACAACCCACTGGGGATCAATAAAAGTGTCCTATCGAGCCTCATCTTTTATTTTGAAAGCTTCCGTTTCCTCCCCGGCCGCGTGAACACCCACTTTCAACTTGACGCTCGAAACTACGCGGCTACGTCATTTCCCGGAAGTGAAACTATCGCAACACGGAAGTGTAGGAAAGAAAACAAATAATCGTTCTAATTTGTCTCGACTCGGAGTCGGAGAAGACGCTTTAAACATCTTTACGGATCACCGCCATCAAACGACCAGGTGAGAGAAACACTGCGGGGATCCGCTCCCTCACAGCCGGGTTCAATCTGACATGGCGGCGCTACATCAGAAGATGTTGGACAGGTCTGAGACAGAAGCAGCTAAAACAGGGCTGAACCGAGATTGTGACAGGCCTCCAGTCACATTAAGAACCGCTGAGTAATATTATCCAGGAAACATGAGGTCATAGCAGCGCTAACATGGCTGATACACTGTTAGAAACAAGTACATTAACTACGTTACTTCATGCTCCACTAACGTTACAGCTCAGAGGGACACACTGTACTTCTTTACTACAGTACTTTATACTCCACTAACGTTACAGCTCAGAGGGACACACTGTACTTCTTTACTACAGTACTTTATACTCCACTAACGTTACAGCTCTCAGAGGGACACACTGTAACGTTACTTCTTCACTACGTTTATCTGATAACTTCAGTCACTTTACTAATGAAGAGTCTCACACACACAAAAATAGTGATTAATTTTCTGTCAGTCAATTAATTGTTTCAGTTTTACACATTAAATCTCAGTTAAACTACTTTTTCCTCACGATCAGTCAGACCTGTTGTCAACTATCAACATCAGTGACCAACTGATTTGATAATCGATTAATCAGTTTAAAGAATAAAAGTTGATATTCTCTGATTTCCACTTCTGAAATGTGTTTCTTTGCTCCTCTGTGGCGGTTACGTGAAAATCCGTTGACATAACAAGACGTGATAATGTCATTTTGGACTTTGGGAAACTGATTATTTTCTATAATCTGACATTTTAGAGAAACAGCAAGAACAAATATATTTCATATAATCATCAGATTGATCGACAGATAATCATTGTTTATTGATCTGTTATCCAAACAGACCAAAACCAAATTCACCTGTCATGTTAATAATCTTTCATTTCAATGAGCTGTAAAGTACGTCACTTATTTCCTACAGGCTTTATCTCAATTATTAAAGTCTTACACGTAGGGTTGCAGCAATACACTGCTTTGAAGCTTCACTGTGATACTAAACTCATCGATTAATACACCGTGTACATTTGCTAATCTATCAGCTGGACAGAGAATCTTAACTTTATTTCAGTTATTTTCAAAACACAAATGTCCATTTTCTGGGTCGCCAAAGCTTCACGTGGGGGTCGCCAGGCCCGTTCTTGATTTTACAGAGATTAGGAAAACTTTTTTTTTTTAAATATACTGCAGGCCTACGATCATTTAGAAAAGAAAGAAGAGAGAAGAAAACAGAGTGACATTGTTAAACTTTAGATTATTACTGAAGATATAAACTTGTAATTCTCACAGGATAAACATATGGTGAAGAATTTAGCACAAGCTGAAGTCACAGAGTCTTCACTCTGTTTATCAGGCTTGACCTGCGTTAGGAAAGTATGCAGTTTAACCAACCAAAGGGCTAACAGAACATGCAGCAATTATCAGGAGAAGAAAACACTGAATCTGTCAAAGAGAGGCCTATAAAGTGTGTGTGATTGTTAAAAAACAAACATAAAAACATATTAGAGACAGAAAATTGTATAAAAAGTTCCTACAAATATGATGCAATGTTCACAGAAAATAATCTGCTAAAATTCGTCCAAATTGCTTGTTTAACACAAAGTTACTGCCTTCACTGTTTGGGTTGATTACACAGCTGTTACTGCCATGCATTAAATATAATATGAAATAAGATATGTCCCATAGTCGGGACCGTCAGTTTATAATGATAGAAAAGGGGTCCCTCAGGAAAGAGGTTAGGAACCACTGGATTAATTGATGAATCACGTCAGTACTAATGTATTTTAGTTTTCAAGAGAACCTGTTCAGCTTGCCTTTATTGACATTCTACTTTTGGTATTTTCTAACAGATGGACAAACTGTTTGGGAGAAGGAAGACTCCGGAGGAGATGCTGAGGCAGAATCAGAGGGCGCTCAACCGAGCCATGAGAGAACTGGACCGAGAGCGTCAGAAACTGGAGCAACAGGAGAAGAAGATCATCGCTGACATAAAGAAACTGGCCAAACAAGGACAAATGGTGAGACGAAGAAAAATAACTTGTGTTTCATGAGGAGAGAATAATATGTAACCCTAACCGTGATGTGTGCTGTTATTAATCTGTGCAGGACGCCGTCAAGATCATGGCGAAAGACTTAGTTCGCACGCGGCGCTACGTCAAGAAGTTCATCATGATGAGAGCCAACATTCAGGCTGTCAGTCTAAAGATACAGACGCTCAAGTCCAACAACAGCATGGCACAGGCGATGAAAGGCGTCACCAAAGCCATGGCCACCATGAACAAACAGGTCTGTCCAAGAAATCACAGACACACTGTTTGATGGAAATAAACAAAGAACCCTCCTGAAGCTGACTCATATTTATTTTTTCCTCCACAGCTGAAACTGCCTCAGATTCAGAAGATCATGATGGAATTTGAAAAACAGAGTGAAATCATGGACATGAAGGAGGAGATGATGAACGACGCTATTGACGACGCCATGGGTGATGAGGATGATGAGGAGGAGAGGTGAGCGACTCAGACGCATCCAAACACTTATTTTTGTACAAACCTGTCATTGCACATTTAGGTACCATCTTTATTTAACAGTGAGCATTCATTAAAGTCACTACTCACCAAAGGAGTGAAAGAAAACATCAGTTCTTTTTAAACAAGGTATTGTTGTTGATAATAAAGATGCACAGAGCGTCAACAAACAAACATTGAACCAACAAGGACAAAGAGACAACGCCACCCACCAACCCAGGAGCAAACACGGGAAGCCAGACCAGCCAAAGGAAATCCAAGAGACAAGAACGAAAAACAAATAAATGACGACAGATTAATTAATCTGTGTGACATAATTAGGAGAGTACAGCATGTTTCATTACAATTTTTCAGCTTCCATATTTGCTAAAGAAGTTAAAAATGGTTGCCAGGTGACAAAGAGGCGTGCATACGATCCTTTACAACGTCCTTAATCCAATGTCCATGTTTCTAAAGCTCAATAATTAACACAATAAATTCCAAAAACCAAGTGTAAAAACACTGCATTGTGGTTTTATGGGGGTTTATGTGTTGTACTATCTCCAGCCAGGCTAACAGTTTCCCTCTGTTTCCATGCTAAGCTAAGCTAACGTCTGCTGGCTGTAGCTTCATATTTACCGTTCAGATATGAGATTGATGTCAATCTTCTCATCCAGCTCTCAGCAAGAAGGCCAAAGCACATTTCCCCATAATAAAAGAGTGCAATTTTTTGGAAACGGCAGCATCTCCATTGTCATGTAAACTTGCAATATGCAGTTCCTCTGAAAACGGAGACTTTTTACTCATGCGCATTACGGTTCCAGTCACTAGGCACGCCGACCGTCACAACAACAATGCAGAGCTCTGTTTGTGCTGCTCACCCTGTTGATTTGAAGTGAAGTGTAGATCTGTTACTGTAGCAACTTCACCTCGTCGTCCATCCAGACAAAGTTATCTGTGCATGCTTTCGCCATTGTGTCTTCTTTGTTTTGGTTTGTAATCACCGTGTTGTAGAGTAAGGCTCTTCAGCGCAGGCTCATGGCGTCATGCCGTGGTGTTGCTTTGCAAATTTACACTGCTACCCATTGGCCTGGCGTGCATACTACAGCGTTTCCAGTAGATTTTGCGACTCCATGTGAACGGGGATCGTTTCAGTAACGTCGTCATATAAATGCAGAAGTTTTTTAAAACGCAAAGGACAGACTTTACGTTTTTAGAGAAACCGTTGTTGTCTAAACAGGGCCTGAGTAACTCAGGGGCTCCAGAGCCACACGTGGCCCCTCTTCACTGGGTCCTTGTGGCTTTGACAAAACATCACTTTTTTTTTTTTTTTTTTTACATTTACATTTTTATCTATCATTGTTGTCCAAAATAAATTTGTACATTGTAAGAATGTGAATACAGAAAAAAAGTTTCAACATTTCGTTTGCCTGACGGAGGTCTCGTCACCGAAACTTTGCAGCAGCATTAAAATAGATAGGTTTGATATATATAGTGTGCAGTCTTATTCTTCTCATCCCTCGCCCACGCACCTGTTTAAAATTGTGCAAAGTATTCCTTCGTTTTGAACATTTCGTCAACTAAAATGTGCGTCATACGTCGACCGCCTTTTCCTCTAAACTTTAACAAACCTTTATAGTAACTTATCTTGAGCTTCCCCAGCGAGGCCAGCAGTGGATTTCAATTCAGAGAAAATAGAAGTCTTAAAGGAAATTAGAGGGTTTAATGGTGCTTTGACAGATTTGTTTGCTCTCACCGCAGACACTAGACAGTTAAAGTACCAAATAATCATCAGCAGCCCTCTGCAGCAGCCACCTTGTGCTAATGTCGACTGGGTTACCATAAGACTTGCATATGTTTTGTGGCTCTAAGCAGATTTTTACAATTATTTTTGGTCTATTTTTGGCTCTATTGATAGTTAAGGTTGCTGAGCTTTGAACTAACTCAGTGTATGTTCTGCATTCACTACAGTGACGCCATCGTGTCCCAAGTTCTGGATGAGCTGGGTCTCAATCTGTCTGATCAGCTGTCAGGTGAGAAAATCCAACACGTTGAGCACAACTATTTGAATCCTTCCCGTGTTCCCTTTGTCTTCTTTCTGGTATTTCACATTTGTGACATCATTGGACGACCATTGCTTTGCTCATTTCAGATCTCCCAAGCACCGGAGGAAGCTTGTCGGTGGCCGGAGGAAAGAAAGCCGAGCCCCAAGCCGCCCTGGCCGACGCTGACGCCGATCTGGAGGAGCGGCTGAATAACCTCAGGAGAACTTAAACCTACAGCAAAGTGTCAGACACTGTGTTAATACAGATACTCCAATCTCTGTGTTTAGAGTCTTCTGAAGGTATAACTGGCAGAACACCTGCCGACTCAGCTGTGTCATGAAGGTGTGTGGCTTTCAGTTTGAGCTGTTTTCATTTTATGCGTGTATTATGTATTTTATCAAAAGACAAAAAGTAAAAGTCTACAAGGGTCATTATCCTTCATAGGTCTCTCATGTAAGAAAATGCCGCGTGACACATTGTCTGAAAGTGAAAATGTATTTCGCAGTCTGTGTGTGAATACTAACTCCTCGACGCACCTCATTTCCCACCTTAAATTAACACTACAATGGAACCAAATGAAAGACGGTAACATGGCAGATATTTTATGTCAGCACTTTTTGTACATGAAGCTGGTTTAGCGTTCTTTATCTTCATCATCATCATCATATAAAATGTGCTGTTGTAGCTCTCTGCTGACTTTTGATTATGTTTATCTGTGGGTGGTGACGGTCGTTGGGGTCCAGATGAAGATGTTTTATCTCAACATCATATCTGTCTGAATTTACTAATGGCACAGTTTATTTTACACAAATATAATAAAGGATAGAGAGAGAGAGGTGTGTGCAGCTGACTCTTCTCCAGTGGAAAGGCTCTCCTGCCTGGTGACTGTGGTGGAGTGGTGTTTTTGAGATGGGCAGGATTTTCACCAAACTTTAGTAAGAGTCAGCGGCGTTTTGGTTTTTTCTTGAGAAACTTTACTGTTTTTGCTTTTCTTTGTTGAATAAACATTTTTTTCCAGATTAAACTAACTGGTTGTCTGAATTTCAGTTTCTTAGAGAAAGTATTTCTCAGCCTGAGAGAACAGGTCTGTGTTAAAGACTTATGAGTGGCAGTAATCATGCTGTCTAAGGAAAGGTAGTAAAGAGCAGAGGGAAGGCAGAGACCAGGAGAGACGGGTAGTGAGGTTAAGAGCTTCATTGGGATCATATCAGGTGGGTCCCCTCCTTCACTGGTGTTTCAATGATAGGCACCTCCAGAGGGCTCATCGGCAACACCTGGCGTCCCAGGTGCGCCCCCTCTTCTTCTACTCCCTTGAACCTTGCTGTTGTGATATTTCGGGGCCCAAGTGGCATCTTTCCTCTTAATCCACAGCCACCAGCTCGCCTGTTCGGCTGCGCCAGAGAGAGAGACGCAAAATGACCTCAAGGAGAAAAATATGACCATGAGGAGAAAGATCTAACTATGAGGAGACACTAAATGACATCAAAGAGACACTAAATGGTCACAAATAAACACAAAACAACCGCATGGAGACACAAAATCACCAAAAAAATTAAACAAACAAAAAAAAAAATACAAAAAAACATCCCACTCCATTTTCCAATAAACTGAAAACTGGGGGATTTAAAAGGCGACGTAGCAAATTAGAGTATATCTGAGTCACCGTTCCTGAATAACTAAATTTAAAAGGATCTTTATCAAAAACTTTTGTGTTTGTATTTATTGATATCAAAATATTCTATTATATATTTTTTTTATCTCAATCATCAAACCTAAAAATAACCCAAACAAAACCAAAATCCAAATATCGTAGACATGTTAATTTTATTCCAAAAAAATGTAACTTTCAAAACTGTCAATTTGTCAACATACAATCATAGAACAATATTGAATGTACTCAACACGTCCGACATTAAATAATAAAAAAATAACAGCCATGTTTTATGTACATTTGTTTCTGGAAGCTATGTACAGGGAAAAAAAAGTTAACTTTGTATTTCCAAAATATGCCTACACATACGCCTGGCAGTCGAAGTGTTGAAGCTGCAGAAAGCCGTTGCATCGTATGTACGAATAGAGGAAGAAATGAAACACTGCGACTGAGATGAACTCAGAGAGGGAGAGTTTAACTGGCAGCATGTTAAAGAGCATACCGGTGAACATCGCTAGAACTACGCCTAGAAAGCTTATTTATCTTCTAAAATGGTTCCCTTGAATCCTGAAGAGACCAAATGCATACACACAACTTGCCTAATATTTACTGGATGTAAGCGTATTGTAAAGATTGGAAACACCAAAGATCAAGACTGTTATTATCAGGTGTTGTTGTGATGAACGCAGCAGCTCTCACTGGACAGAGCAGCCAAAAGTCATGCTTTCAACAATATTTTGTAGTTTCTTTCGCCCAATGAGCAGAGATTAGTCTCTTTCTGGGGTGAAGCCATGCTACCGTGTTTTTCTTTTAAACAGCTAAATAGAGTCCATGCAACTCACATTGAAAATAAAGAAACAGAACACTGGGTCACCACCTGTCCAGTCATCCGTGCTGTTGTTTTCATAAAGCAAACCAGGAACACAGAACAATCATTGGGTTGCTTTTTGTAACTTCTTCTGACGTCGGATTGGCTAAACCTGTCATTTGTTTCATGACATCATGCTGAGTGTGGCTCAAACCTCCCGATATCACACTAAACATTGATAAAATTTTATTTGAAGTTGTGTGTGAACAACGATATAGGCAATACACAGCACGAGACAGTCAGAGTTTGACATTTTTTTTCCCACTAAGGCAGGGAGAATGAGTGTGGTAGGATGACCCAGAACCAAAAAGTTGCTGCCATATTGCTCCTGGCGAACAGCTCAAGTTCCACATTTCAGTCAAAAATGGCAACCAATGGGTTTTTTCCACCTTGCATGAATGCGCTCAAGATTAGAGTCAGTTTATCCCGTCTGCATTAAAAGTGACAGAAACTCCACTTTGCTGTGATAAAATCAATCAGCTGTGGATGGCACAGCTGATACACAACATATTTTAAACATGTTGCAGAACATGCACATAACTGCTCATACACTTTTCTTGGGATACAAACTGTAATTTTTAACAGCGGCTAACACGGGGACTGTAATCTTGTGGCATCAGGCATTTAATCAAAATGAGACACCCACTGTCACAGCTGTCTCCCATCCTTCTATAATATTCTGCAGGAGATCAGCTGGTCAGTGGGGAAACGTTCAAACTTCAGACTGAAAGCAACAGCAGTTGTACATAGCGACTGATGACTTGTCTCCCCCCCCCACAGGCAAGACAAATATAGCATTTTCTAATCTGGGCACGGGGCGGCATCTCTCCGCTGTCAACGCCACACAACAGGGTTTCACTTCCGACAGGTCCGGTGAGGAGTGTGTTTTTTGGGCACCTCGATGCGACATCGACTTCGGTCATCCAGCCAAGGTAGCTCGAAGTTCCTGGTGGAAGAATAAACATGTTAGTATAGAAACATAAAGGATGGGTCCATTATGTTTTTAAGTTCATCATCCTGTAGCTTCCCAGGAGTAAACTCAAATCCAAACCTTCAAATTTTCGATGAAGTTCATATGTTTTAGCGTCAAAATACGATTTTCCCCAGACCTTCTACAAAGGTTTCCTCACATGACCCGACAGGTTTCTGCATGATGACGCTGCAACATATTAACACCTTAACCCTACGGGCCCGACCGACGCAAAGTGCATCCAAATTCACACCTGTTCTTCTCTATGGATTTTGTCCACAACCGTGCGTCATAGCGAGAAGCTCTCATATCACCTGAAACAGCGGAACCACAGCTTTCCAACAAGACCAAGCACTTGTCAGTAAACAATGATAAAGTTACACTAAAATTATGTATAACAGAGCTTTCATACAGCTCTGTGCACACATTACTGTTGGATGGATTACTCGCGAAGGCAGGCTCGCACAGAAATGCCACGCATATCACATGAAAGCGCAGGAGGAGAGCTTTCCAGTGATACCACACACATCATTGTGCTGTCATCCCATCACGCTATAAATACAGATTAATTGTCTACAAAATAAAAACCTGATGAATTTCTTTACAATCCATTATACAGATCTTCTTATCAGTCATTTCATATAGTGAGGAATATCGTATCTTACCACGTCTTAGGCTTGTGTGTGTTTCTCCCTGTCTATCCACATTTGTAGTCCGGCTTTCAAGATGCAAATATCTCCATATTGTCCAATATATGGTCCAATACACTCCATCAAACTTTGTATGACAAAGCATTTCTGCAATTTGCCTTTTGTTCCAATGACTGAAGCATTCATAAGAAGATCAGCGCACCCAGACAACTGTAGCCTAATTATGCATGCACGACGTAACCTCAGGTCACGTTCAGGTCAGGTCAAAGAGCAGCATGGAGCACAGAGAAGTGAGTCAAGATCATGTCGAAAAGAAAACCTCCAGAATTTGTTTTACTGCAAACAAAGTGGCAAATATTATCTTGGAGGACATCATTGCACTTGTTTGACTATTTTTCTATGGTCTTAGATGTAAATATTGCATGTTTCTTTCAGATAAAACAGATTTTTGACTTGTGAATGAGTCAATGGAATTTCTTGCAATAATGAAAAAATACTGGCAATCATGTCCGCCTGGCACAAACCACATGTTTTGGACAGCTGTGAAGTGACAGAATGTCCCATCATCATGGTTCTTATATTGCCAGATTCCAGAGAGTCTCCCCTCTTCATATATGGCAGAATATGTCTTCTTCCAACTTGCTATGCTGAGATACATGTAAAAAAACAAGATATAGCATGTGTATGTAGCCTTTATAATGACTGTGATATGAGCTTAAATACTCCCAAAAAGGCCTAGGGCCCAAAGGGTTAACTACATTAACTATATTCTCCTGGATCCCATATGTGCCACAGTCACAGACACATTTTTTAGAGCTGACAAATTAATAGATCCCTTCTAGAATCCCTGTTTTCCTTACCAACTTAAAGATCATGTACTGGAGTGTCTCCCAGTTTGATAATGTATACCTCTGTTACACATCCCTCCTTCACAATGTAAAATAATCAAAGAGAATTTAACAGGTCTTAAATCAGGCTGTTAAAACTACTTAACCCCACAATACTCTTATATATACTCTTTGTATCTGCAAGTAGAAATACTGTATTCTTTTTTTCTGCTCATCGGTTGTCTGCTTGCAAAAAAACACTATATTCCTCTGACCAGCACGGACGCTAAGCACCGCACTGCTGTGGACGCCATGTTAGTTTGGATGCGAAAGTCACAAAATATATCAAACAAACTGACTGATGGAGGCGGCGGTGGACCAGCAGCTCCCGTGTTCTGCAGGGTAACATGTACATTTCTGTCAATGGAGTCTGGCAGCTTTGAAGTGGTGTTTATACATATATTCAGAATAGCTGAAACAGTTCAATGCTTATTTTCCTCAGTATCAATACTACTGATACTTCTTTATCGCTCTCTGACAGTGAGTTGAGCCACAGCCATAGCCCCTCCACTCACTCACTCACTCACTCACTCACAGTGCTGGCGTCTTGCTGCTGATGGCATACAGGTCTTGCAGCATGGTTTTGTTTTTTACTTGCATTTTATTGCCTTATGAATGTGTGATAATATCAGAGCAATGCAAACTTTTAAACTCAGCACAACTAACAGTTAAGTTTGACGTTATTCTGCTGCATCTGTGCCCAGAGTGCACTCTGTGTGGCACAGTGACACACTGAATGGTATACATATATCCCAACAGCGCTCCTGATCATCAATCCAGCTCCAAAAATTAAAAATCAATACATAGCAGCAGATGTCGTTATCATGGTGGACCGCCACAAGTAAATGAATGTGTGGGAGAGCCGGAGTCATTCTGCTGTTCTGATACTAACCAAGAGAAGAAAAGTCATCGCTGTCACGTTATAGCCATGTTACATTTATATTTTCATAAAAGATTTGCCCTCAGTGTCAGTTTTCCCCCATGGTATCAAAAACACATCAG